GTAACTGCCCCGCTGCATGTGTCTGGGCAGCAGATGTCAAGGAAATGCATGCCATTGGGCTGACACTCGATAAATAAAACAGTTTCCTTTCTTCTTTCTCCCAAAGAAAGGCTCTCACGTCTTTGAACTCTCAGTCCATTACATCCATCCACTGCCACTTCCTTCACCGTCATAATCCCCTGGCAGTAGAGACCCAAGAGTAATCGCGCCTTCCAGCCCAAGCACTACTTTTGAAACTAAGGTATGCTGCCTACCCTGCCCGTGACCCCGTGGTCTTGGTCATGCTCTACCACTAGCTTCTCCCATGTCCTTTGGTCACTTTTTTTCACATTCCAAATGAAATTCTTCCTTCTTCCCTCATAACTAACCTAGAGTCCCCCTCCTCAGGCGGAAGCTCGACCATCTCCAACCTCCTCAACTTCTGCCGAGTCCCGCATACTTGACTCGTCCTACCTTACGCACGTCCATTGTCTGCACCGCCATCTCGTCTTGTTCGCCTCCGACATCGAACGCCCGGTTCCTGCGCCCAACAGATTCTGACGCGACCTAAAAGTCCCGATACAACCCTCGACGCCCTCGAGCTGGGCGACGCGTTCAGTGTCATATCTGATGAGCACGACAGACGACCGATAGCAGACATCCCGGTCGCCATCATCTCCATCACATCTATATACCATTCAGCAGATTTTACAGTCTTTTCAAGTTTCGATCTATCAGCTTGTTAGCACTAACAGCCGCCCACCATGACTGTTTTTATTGCCTCGATGTAAGCTCTCACCAGTTTGAACTTTTTTTCACCTTGCGTTTGCATTGCATTTCTGCACCAGGCTACCTTGTCCGAGTCTTCTACCCCTCTCGGATGGGTGGGTCCTAACAATGAAATGTCGGGAATGAGGTCATGGATACATTTACTGACTTGACGGGAACCTTGACAGCTTTCTCCCCAAGACCGTTCATTTCAACCTGCCTGGTGCCCGGCCAAGAGGTGCTTCGGCCTCGCAGAAGCCTGCCAGCAAGCCCAAGAAGTGGAAGCCATCCCCCGACACACCTCCCAGCCTGTTCCAACCAGCTCATGATCACATCACTCCTCCGCACACACCGACGGAAGACCGCAAGCACCATGACCATTGGACAAACGAGGATGGATTGAAGGTGCAAATTCCCCAAATGCCCTTCTCTCCCGATGGTGGCTACCGTGCTCCAATCGATCGAAGCTCTCCGACATGGGGCGGCCGGCCGGACCAGCCAATGTCCCGTGCCAACTCGCCGCCTCCCCCTTCGCTGATCGACAGCAGCCGTGCTTTGAACCAGAAGGCCAGAGAGATGGGTCGCCAAGGCATTACGCAGCCACAGAGCCTCGTCAGGAGCGAGAGCCACGACCGTGTATTTGCACATGCCGACTGGAAGATCGTTAGCGCCGATCAGGGTAACGGTGGCTTGCGCAACGCCGCCGTGGCAGCTGCTAGGGATGGCAAGCTTGAAGAGTACACCTGGATTGGCACCTTGGGTATGCCAACGGACGCCCTCCAGGGCACTCAACAACTCCAGGACATTGAGGACAGACTTGCCACTGAGCACGACATGCTGACTGTTTTCTGTTCGGACAAAGACTTCGACGGCCATTATTCCCACTTTTGCAAGCAGATCTTGTGGCCCGTTTTCCACTACCAGATCCCGGACAACCCGAAGAGCAAGGCGTACGAGGATCACTCGTGGAAGTACTACGTGAACGTCAACCAGGCGTTTGCCGACAAGATTGTTAAGAACTGGAAGAAAGGAGACACGGTCTGGATCCACGATTACCACCTCCTCTTGGTCCCTGGAATGATTAGGAAGAAGATTCCCGAAGCCAAGATTGGGTTTTTCCTGCACGTTGCCTTCCCTTCTTCAGAGGTCTTTAGATGTCTGGCTGTTCGAAAGCAGCTGCTTGAAGGCATGCTCGGCGCCAACCTCATCGGATTCCAGATCCGTGAGTACGCCAGACATTTCCTCCAGACCTGCAGCCGCATTCTGAGCGTCGAAGCCACCCCGGATGGTCTTCAGCTCGAAGACCGTTTTGTCGACGTCATCCACCTCCCGATCGGTATTGACCCTGTTAGCCTCAGCCGTCACCGAGAAGAGAGCGAAGTTAAGCACTGGCTCGACATCATGCGTGAGCGCTATGCAGGCAAGAAGCTCATCGTAGCCCGCGACAAGCTCGACCACGTCCGCGGCGTGCGTCAGAAGCTCCTCTCCTACGAGATGTTCTTGAACATGAACCCTGAGTGGAGGGACAAGGTCGTTCTCATTCAGGTTGCCCTTTCAACAAGCGAAAAGAGCGAGTTGGACGCTACCGTTTCTGACATTGTGACTCGCGTCAACTCTACCTGGGCCAACCTGGCATATCAACCTGTGGTCTACCTCAAGCAGGACATTGACTATGCCCAGTACCTTGCGCTGGTGAGCATCGCTGATGCTCTCATGATCACCAGCCAACGTGAAGGCATGAACCTCACATCCCACGAATACCTTTTCTGCCAGGACGGCAAGTTCAGCGAGAAGAAGCACGGCTCACTGATCCTCTCTGAGTTCACGGGTACTTCCTCGTTGTTCAGTGGAAATGAGTTGTCGGTGAACCCTTGGGACTACAGGGCTTGTGCAGATGCCATCAAGAAGGCCCTCGAGATGGACGGCGAGGAGAAGGAGCGCCGCTGGAAGAAGCTGTACGAGGCCGTTAACGTTCACACCGGCTCGCACTGGTTCTCCGAGTTCATGCTCCGCTTGGATAAGGTCTACGAGGAGCAACATAGCCGCGACCAGACCGCAGTACCTCGCCTCTCGATGACCACGTTGTTGCAGCAATACCAGCGCACCGAACGCCGCCTTTTCATCCTTGACTTCGAGGGAACTCTTGTCAGCTGGGGACCCGTTAATCAAATCATTCCGGTCAGCCCTCAACGCACCCTGGATGTTCTCAACGATCTTCTGCTCGATGAGCGCAACACTATTTATGTTATGTCTGGTAGACGTCCAGAGGAGCTTGACCGGATCTTCCGCCGTGTCCCTAACCTTGGTCTCATCGCTGAAAGCGGATGCTACCTCAAGGATTGCGGAAGCAACACTTGGACCGAAATGGCCGATTCCAATAAGATCCGCTCTTGGAAGAGTTCACTCCAGGACATCATGACCTACTACTTGGAGCGTACGCCGGGAGCGGCGATTGAGGAACGTCGCTGCTCCTTGGTGTTCCACTACAAGTCTGCGGACGATTACCAGACGGCCGCTACACAAGCTTCCGACTTGGCCAGCCACATCAATGACGCCTGCGAGGAGCAACGCGTTCACGCTATTCCCATGGACGGTTGCGTGCTTGTTGAGCCCATAGATTGGACCAAGAGCACCGCGGCTCAGAGGATCTTCGCTGATTTGCAGAAACGGATGGGACCGGATGAGAAGCACAAATCACCGGTTGACTTCCTCATGGTTATTGGCGACGGTCGTGACGACGAGAAGGTCTTCAAGTGGGCCAACCAGATGGCCATGGAGGGAACAGTACAGGAGGTGGTGACTGTCAGCCTTGGCAATAGAAACACTGAGGCTAAGGCGACGATGACCCAGGGCGTTAGTGGTAAGCAGATCCCGTCTCTTTTCTTCTCTTTTGGTTGATATACCAGTTACTAACTTTATTTGTAGGCGTTCTTGCAGCTCTCCAGAAGCTGTCCCAAGTCGTGTAAGCAGTAGCCTTCTCTTCGAGGCCACATTCGCCGACTCAATGACATATAGGGTTCCTGCCGAGCATCAGCGTCGGAGAAGTTCTATATCTCTTCCACCCTCAAGCAACATGTGAGCAATCCGGGCGTTGCTTGTTTGCTTTGCTGCAGCATCCCCTTTTTGCGTGGCGTTTTGCGTTGGTGGGATTTTTGGCATTTGCATGGCGAGCCCTTTCGACCAGGGGGGGTGCTTGCTTTGTCTTCTCACCTTTATGATTTGTTCTCTTTTCTTTTCATTTTCGACAACATTTGTTACAGCACCACACAGAAGTGCATCGATATGCCCAGCGATCTGCGATCACCAAGCACTGCATGGCAATACCTGAAAGCTAAGGGAACTCGTTTAGCAACAGAAAGGACACGGTCTTGACGAACACTACAACGGGCGGCGGTGCACATGGTGGTGGTTCTCTTTCTTCTTTTACGGCAACGATGACAGGTGGTATGGAAAGCATGGGATTACGGGAAACGGAAAATGGGGCGCATCATGAGCATTTTTACACTGCACCACAAGGTAGTATATATATAGAATAAGGTAGCCAGGCGCTGGCACGATTCATCGGTTTCTCTTAAAGAGGTTTTTTTCATCTGTTTCTCTTGAGAGGTTTTCTCATCTTGCCGAGAAGTTGAAAAAATTGTGATATGCATCGAGATAAGCCGCAAACACATGAATCAGATTCTATTCACAGTATTGTCGTTACAGTAATCCATCTGAGCTTGTCACAAACAGCATTTTGACATGATGTGATGTGTGAACGGAACGAGAGCAAGAGAGGTGCATCGTACTATACACTGGGCATTGGGTTCGATGTATCTTGAAGACCACTCGCCCGCGTACCTGCTCCGTCATACGATATACTCATGTGCATTATCCCATTTCCATGTCTCAAGACTCTCTATTATAAAGAAGAAATACAACAAACGGTCATGGAGAAAATCTCGCGACGGTGACGATGACATCACTTCCCCAGAACTGTCCACATCTTATTGTTCAAAAGGAGAGCATTCCCCGACCTCCCACTGCGGGATGGGCTTGCTTGGTGCGGGGCAGGTAAAGAAATGGTGGGGCAGTAAGCTGTGTCATCAATTTAACCCCTGTCAGCCTACGGCAACGACATCGGCGTCCATACACGTCGTGCTCATATACTGCGTAGCCGGCATTGATGCATGCGTCTCGGCCGTAGATCGGAGGGCCGCAGGACCCTTGGGAACCTTCTTTTCGTAGATTGAACAACTTCTGAGCAGGTTGACTTCATAAAAGTGTCAGCGGTATAGGTAAGTGACATGCTTCTTCGAGTTACAGATTGTTGCGGTTCACCCGGGGGATAATTTCTGGTATGCGCCCCGAGTAAAAGGACTAGTGCGCCCCTAGTAGGGCCCAACTTTTTCTCAGATTTATCTCGCGATCTTGCGCCATTCTACCTACCTATCTCCTCTAACCTTCCGGAAGCTGACGAAGAACCATCAGCAGAACTGTTGACCAGAACAACCACTTCAATAATATTCGCAGTAGACCAGGCCTAGCCCCAGAAGAGATCCGCGCCATGGCGACTTTCCCTCCTCCTCCGGTCAGCACGATCGACTGGTCCAACGTCGGATTCAAGGTCCGCGAAGGTTGGTAGTAGCTTCCTAGACCCGAGTCCCTGCATCTTCCCAGTCCCATTCTACGCCTTTTCTTTGACCAGCTATATTATGTCCATGGGTTGGACGAGCAGATATAATGACGCCAATCTCCGCGACTATGCGTAACACGAAGAAGAAAGAGTCCGCTAACATCTCCTCATCTTCACTTCACAGTCAACGGTCATGTCGAGTCTACCTACTCCGTCAAGACGGGCAAATGGACCCCGCCCAAGTTTGTTACCGACCCATACCTGAAAATGCACGGCATGGCGCCCGCCCTCAACTACGGCCAACAAGCGTACGAAGGGCTCAAGGCCTTCCGTCTTCCCGGCAACGACTCGATTGCCATTTTCCGCGCAGACAAGAACGCGAAGCGCATGCAACACTCGGCTGAGTACATCAGTATCCCGCCCGTGCCCGTCGACCTGTTCGTCGACGCCGTGAAAGCCGCCGTCGCTCTGAACGCGGAGTACGTCCCGCCCCACGAGACGGGCGCGGCTCTGTACATCCGCCCCCAGATTTTCGGTAGCTCTGCGCAGCTTGGCCTCAGCCCGCCTGAGGAGTACCTCTTCTCGGTCTACGTGATTCCCACGGGCGTGTACCATGGTACCCACCCCGTTAAGGCGCTCATCCTGGAGGAGTTCGACCGCGCGGCTCCGAATGGTACCGGTAGCGCTAAAGTTGGCGGCAACTATGCGCCGGTGCTCCGCTGGAGCGATAAGGCACGCAAGGAGGGGTATGATATCACCCTCCACTTGGATAGTGCGAGGCATGAGGAGATCGACGAGTTTAGCACCAGTGGCTTTATTGGTGTTGTTCGTGGCGATGGGGGAGAGAATGACGTTACCGTTGTTGTGCCCAGCTCCAAGGCTGTTATCGACAGTGTGACGAGCGATAGTATTCAGGAGATTGGCAGGAGCTTTGGCTGGAAGGTTGAGAAGCGTCCGGTAAGTCATTTCTTCTCTGGTGCTTTCTCTTTACTGCCCGGTTTTCCCGTTGGTGTTCGGTGATCACGGCATGGTGCCAAGATTGGATCGGATGCCTGGGAGTGGTGGAAGCTCCGATTTCCAGATCCGAGCCGGAGGTGCAACGGAGGGCATCTTCAATGTCTAGGTCCTGGATGGCACATGCTACAGGCATGCCATGCTACCTACCTATCCCCTTTATCGGAGCACGACTGCCGAACGGAAGGAGGGTTCCACGACAGTCGGAGATATTCTCTCCCACAATCTCAACCGAGTATCTGGATCGGATTAGTCGCTGACACACTGTTACCATCCACACAGATCAAGTACTCCGAACTCCCCAACTTCTCGGAAGTGATGGCCGCCGGCACCGCCGCCGCTCTCGTCCCCATTCGCTCGATCACCCGTCGCGTCAAGCCATCATCTCCCCAGTCTCTCGCTTCCAGCACTGCTACCCAGGAGCACTCTCGCGTCTCATTCAATAAGGAAGCCGATGAGGAGACAGTCACTTACCTCCCCGAGAGCCAAGAGGACGCCGGCGACATCTGCCTGAAGCTCCTCTCCCAGCTTAAGGGAATCCAGCTCGGAAAAATTGAGGACACCTTTGGCTGGCGCTTTGCGGTTACGGAGGAGGATGGAAAGAAGGCAGAGGGCGCAGAGAAGGCTCGTGGTAAGGAGGCGCAGACCATTGACCAGATGGATTAGAAGACTAGCTGGAATGGGCTTCCCTGGGGTATGGCCTAGAGGTAGGATGGCAAGCTAGGTATACAGCGCCTACTTCGATATGATGCAACCAGACATGGCAGGGAACAGGGCCCGGACGAAGGATACCACTATCCCGCGTCTTATTGCTCCAAAGGGGGACTTTTCATAACCATGCACGTTAGGTGTCACCTCGGTGGGAAGATAAAAGTTGTGCTTCCAAGATATAGGGTGGTTTTCCCAGATTTGCGACGGCTGTCATGTTCACTCCTTTCTTTCTTGTCACTGGGGCAATAGGCACTACTGGACCAAAGGCGTAGCATGTTCTGGTTGCCTGAGACGACATCATCAAAAGCTGTTTGATACGAGTCGGAGGAACCCGTGGTTAAAAGGCGTCTGGTGGATGAAGTTGGTTGTTGGGTCGCGTGTGGCATGATGTGCCTCCGTCTCAATCGGGACAGCGTCAGACCACCATATCACAAAGGCAGGAGATAGAAAGAACAAGCTATGGCCATGTTGAGGCTGTGCAAATTGATCGAATTTGATATCGTGAACATTGAAAGGTTCGACGTAAAAAGACGTTAGTGCTTCCCCGCAACAACAGCAAAGGGGAGGAGGGGAGGGGAAGCGCCTAGAGCGCCCAGGTCGGGGACGATCTGGGGGGTAGGTGGGTGGGTGGGTGGAGACTACCACCAGACGTTTAAGACGGAATCTTGGCGAAACAACCTTATTTCGATGTCACTCCTTGGAGGGAGCAACACCAAAGGATACTTCACGATATGTAATTCTGCCATCGTCTTTTTTTTTTTTCCAATGTGAACTCGCTTTCGCATTCTGTCAGCGCCCAAAGGCATTGTTGATCTTTCTTTTTGCCGGTGTCTCACCCCACCAGGCACATCCGCGACCCTCCCATCGGCCATCTGGATCCTACCAGTCTCCTCACCTTCGCTTCGTTCGGACCTCTGCTTTTGCACAGTCGCACGCACGCCCTGACGAGAACGAAGCGAGATGTCGGAGTTAGCCCCAACCAATCACGTTCCACCGCTCCATATCCCGACACTGGAAGTTGAGCCGCCCGCGCGTGTGCGCGCGATTTTTCTGTCTTCTGTTTCCTGTTGTTTCAACCACGGTCACTCACATCACCCACTCTCAATCCCGGCCGGTCTTGACAAAGAGACAGTGTAGGGAGAGAGAGGAGAGAGGAGGCCTCCCGGAGAGTTCCTCTCCCAGTCCTATCCATCCAACATGACCACCATCCATCCAACCCACGTGCTAACTCCTTGCCGAAAACTCGAAGGATTCAATAGAGCGGGTGGCAGTGCTGATGCAACTGATGCAAAGCCAATGCAAAATTGCAGTGTTGCAGACTAAGGGACCAGATAAGCTTCACGCACATGTTGAAGCAGGACCTCTCGTGGACTGTCTCGAGCCGCAAGTGGAAAGTTGCAGTCTGAGAGCTCGGGGACTTGAACCACCTCATCCAGCACGACGGTAGAGGTATGGATGGGTGGCATCGACTGGAGAGATACGATGGTTGTTGAATTACCAGTGGGATAAATGAGATGAACGCCGACAAACAGGAACTTGTCATCTCGGTGGGAGATTACAATCTTCTTCCCGGTTTCCAACGTAGGGGTCAATAGTCAGTCCTCATGCTTCGGCTTTCATCCCCGGGTCTCGTATCCAGTGCGACGAGCTGGAGCTTGATTGAGGGAGCTCAAAGCTAGCTGCCTACCCCTCCACCCCTTCTCATCCTCCGAGTGGTTCAAGTTTCGAGATGCCTATCCTGGACACGGGATGTATGGAATGGAATGCTGATGGGCCGTGAGCTGTGTGTAGAGGGTCCTGCTCGCTAGACGTACTAGTCTACTTCTCAGCATCATGCCAGGCGGCTTTGGTGTGAATGGAACCATCATTTCATCTCATGTTCAACTGTCTTTTTGGACTCTTCACTTACACTTCGCTGGTACTCGCCAGGACTCGAATTTCCTCTGACTTTTGGCTGGACGATTCTAGTTCTGACGAGTAATTCGACAGTGTCGTTTTGTCACTCCGACACTCAACCAGTGTTTCTTTCCCCTTCATCACCAGACCGTGCACCACCCAGTGGGGTGCAGCTGGAGCAGTGCAGTCCAGCGCAATAAACCCATGGCCCAAGCTCATGCTTAACAAGCGTTATTGCTTCATGCATGCATCATGCTCACTCAGTATGTCGGTTCCGGGTTTTCACAGCTGCTTTGTGTCAGTCTGTCTGCTGTCTGTCTGTCTGCTGTCAGATGCTGTGATTCGGGACCGGGAACTGGAATCTCCCAACAAGCGCGGGCAAGTTGCCATTCTCACCACCCCAATGCAACAAAAAAGAGGCGTTTCACAATACCACGAATATCCGGCTTTGATATCCCTGTCGATCGCATTGTGTCCCCCCACGACGACGGCCGGACCTCCTCCATCACCCCTACCTTAGCTAACCTGCCTACCTTACTACCTACTACCTACCTTACCTCCAAACCGGCCGGCCAGGCTAGCTCTACCTATCGAGCAGAAAGCTTATCGCTGCTCGAAGATTGGACTGGACTAGGAACTGGCCCGAGTGTTGCTGGGACTGGCTATGACGGGTTTCGACGGGAGCTTCTCCCTCCTGGCGGGATTGGTCGGTCTTTTGTTTTTCGTCTTTGCCATCCTCCCACCAAAGAACAGTGATCTCCGGGTATATAACCGACCTAGGCAGCTCGACGTGGCATCTGAATATCGAGCTGGTTATGATGGCTCTTTGAGCGAAGAGTAGTCCGGACCTCTTGCTTTTCGAATCCTTTGTTTGTGGCGCGGTGGTGCTTCCGCTCAGGCCTGCTTTCAAGTTTCACCACACCACTGGTTCTTCCCTCTCCATCCAGATTCTTTTACAAGGTCCTCCTTACTACCTCCCTTATAGACTTATAGTCGTCCATCCAGTCTCCTTTCACCCACCCTCTCACACCCATATAATATGTCCATCACTCACGAAGCCGACCCTAACCGCAACATGGACACCCCAACCGCAAAGTCAAACAACCCACAAGGTCCCAACAACAACACGACCATAAGGATCGAAGAACCATCCTTCAAACACGACGCTGATGATCCGGACCGGGAGCCCACCGGCGTCTCGACAGGAGCACAAGTCTTCCGCTCAAGAGGCAGCTCCATGTCCAGCTCGCACCGCCCCGAACTAGTCGGCGGCGTGTTCAACCCTCGCAGCATCATTTCTCGCGGGAAAAGGCCGGCTGATAGTCGCTCTTCTCATGACTTTGGCACATCGCAGTCGCACCTTGATATCGAGGAAGGAGATGACTGGCGGGGTGGGTATGAGAAGAAGAAGCAGGTGTTTAAGGGGCGGACTTTGTTGTGGTTGGCCTACCAATCTGTTGGTGTGATCTATGGAGATATCGGGACGAGGTGAGTGATGCGATCCTTATCCCCCCTTTTTCCTCTTGGGTTGTCTACCCTGTTGAGACGATCTAACCACCTCTTGTTTCCTGTGCAGTCCGCTTTACGTGTTCTCGTCAACGTTCACTGCACCGCCCACCCATACCGACTTGCTCCAAGTTCTTTCGGTTGTCATTTGGTCCATCACCATTCTCGTCACGTTCAAGTACATCTTTGTCATTCTCCATGCTGATAATGAGGGCGAAGGTGGTACCTTCAGCTGCTATTCGTTGCTTACCAGATTTGTAAGTGCAAGCCCTTTGTCTCGCGACTCAATCCGTTTTGATCATTTCCCGGGGTTGCTAACAGATGCAGGCCAACATCACCGAGCGCGATCCGCGAGAAGAAGTGACTGTGCGGATGGAAAGACATCTCACCAGCGACCTCCAACCACCTACCCGTACCTTGCGCGCCAAACTCGAAGGGAGCAGGTTCACCCACGTCCTGCTAAAAGTCATTGGCGTCCTTGCCGTCTCCATGGTCATGTCCGACGGTGTCTTGACCCCGGCTCAGTCTGTCCTCGGTGCTGTCCAGGGATTATCCGTTGTCAAGCCTGATATTTCCAAGTCCACCGTCACCGGCACAACGTGCGGCATCCTGGTCCTTCTCTTTCTGATCCAGCCACTCGGTACATCGAAACTCGCTTCCACATTTGCGCCCATCGTCATCGTCTGGCTAGGCTTAAACTTCTCCTTTGGCATCTACAACCTGGTCACGTTTGACTGGACGGTTTTGAAGGCTTTCAGCCCTTACTTTGCCTTTCAGTTTTTTATCCAGCACAAAACGCGCGCTTGGAGAATGCTCGGCGGTGTTCTTCTGTCCTTCACGGGCGTCGAAGCGCTCTTTGCCGACCTGGGAGCCTTTAGTCTGCGTGCCATCCAACTGAGCTGGATGTGTTACACCTACCCCTGTCTTATGCTGGCATACATCGGACAAGCAGCCTACATCAGCCATCACCCGGACGCCTACACGAACCCCTTCTTCAACGCGACGCCTCCCGGAGCTCTGTACCCAAGTCTGGTCATCGCCATTCTTGCTGCCATAGTAGCCAGCCAAGCCATGATCACGGCAACCTTCCAGCTCATCAGCCAGATCATGAAGCTCTCCTACTGTCCGCAAGTCAAGGTAGTGCACACCTCGCAGACCTTTCACGGGCAGATCTACGTTCCGTTTGTGAACTGGCTCCTCATGCTCGGCGCCATCCTCGTCACGGCTGTCTACGGCGACACCGTCAAGCTCGGAAATGCCTACGGCGTCTGCGTCATGTTTGTCACCTTCTTCGACACCTGCATGGTCACGCTCGTTTCCCTCCTTGTGTGGAAGCTCTCGCCCTTCCTGGTGTTCGTTCCCTGGCTGGTCTTTGCCTCCGTCGACGGATTGTACCTCTCGGCGGCACTGACCAAGGTCCCCGAGGGCGCCTGGTTTACGCTCACGCTTTCCGGCATTCTAGCCTCGCTATTCCTGCTCTGGCGCTTCGGCAAGGAGAACCAGTGGCGCGCCGAGGCCGAAGACCGGTTCAAGCCGTCGCATCTTATCATTAAGGACAAAGATGAGGGTGGTCGGCTACGATTACAACCACTATGGGGCGGCGACCCGCTCAGCTCAATTCGTGGGTTTGGCATCTTCTTTGACAAGACGGGCGTGATGACGCCTGCGGTGTTCACGCACTATGTGACCAAGTTTGTCGCGATCCCGGAGGTGGCGGTGTTTTTCCACTTGCATCCGGTGGAGGCGCCGACGGTGTTGCCGGAGGAGAGGTATGCTGTGTCGCATTTCACTGCGGTGCCGGGGTGTTATAGGCTGGTGATCAAGCATGGTTTCATGGATCATGTGATAAGTCCTGACCTGGCGGCTTTGATTTACAAACAAATCAGGCGCTTTGTGGTAAGGCAAGCTATAGAGAGAGTGAGAGCGCTGGAGAAGTTGAGGACGGGTGAGGATACGGATTACGAAGGTGAGGGTGAAGGGGAGGCCACAGAGGGAGGGACTTCTCACCAGAGGGAATCGTCAGGGGCATCGGGTCCTGATGGCGTACAACTTCCCGTCGAGCTCCGCGATGAAAAGGCAGCAGTTGAACTGGCTCGTCTTGATCGGGCGTATGCTTCCAAAATTTTGTACGTGGTTGGGAAGGAGCAGATGAGGATCAAGACCGGTGCGCCGATTGCTCGAAGGTTCATGTTGTCGGTGTTCTTGTGGATCAGGGATAACACCCGGGCAAAGATTGCGAATTTGCGGTTGGCCATGGATCGTGTGGTTGAGGTAGGCTTCGTCAAGGAGATTTGAAGGGATTTGTCAGTTTCTCATCATGTCAGTGAGCTACACTGAACAAGTTGCCACACTACAGGAAGTGCAAGGCATCAGTTCATTACCTGGTTACTGGGAGGAAGGTGCGAATGCATGTCCTTTCGGCCCTCTGTTGCACCATAGGTTTCTGAATTCTAGGAAGGCACATAGAGCAGAGCTTCCAACGCACAAAGTTGACTGACCCGGGCGCTCCTTCCTCGCCCGCACCTTCCTCGCCCACCTTCCTCGCCCACCTTCCTCGCCCGCACCTAGAAAAATCGCGTCGTACGCCATTCCCTGAATTTCTGATTCCAATTTGTGGCAGTGTTAACTTGCACTCTTCACAATCCAAGACGCGTTTGTCACCACATCACTTTCCCCAGATTCTCACTCGAAGGTCAACAACCAGTCACAAAACACCAACCCCCACTTGCCCTCATTCCGATACATCGACATCAACACCATCCGGCGCCATGGAAGAAGACTTTCAAGCGCACCACAGCCGGTTTCCTCGCCTACAGTCCGATGACTGTCGCAGGAGAGCCATGTCCGGTGCTGCCATCGGAGGCGAGCCACGCCATCAAGCCTTCACCAGGGGATCAGCGCTCATGAATGATGTTGTTATCGAGCCCAGGCAGCCCCTCCATATAATCCCTGAGTCGTTCCAACGTCCACAGCTGCCAGCTTACCCCCCCGCCCAGTACGACTGGCAGGATCCTAGAGGGAGGCAGGTCCCGCCCGGATACCCTGTGTACCAGAGTCATGGGCAGGTCCCGCCCGGATACCCTGTACCCCTGTACCAGAGTCATGAGCGCTACTTGCCTGATACCCATGGTACGACATCAAGTCCAGAATCAAACCTGTCAAAGGAAGAAAACTAGTAGCAAGGAACTAACTTCTATGTGGCAGGCAACTACACCATGGACCATAGAGGTAGCCATGTTCCCTTCCACCCGGTCAACACCCAGGGGCACGCTCCCCACACTCCGATCTCCGATCCCCGTAACTTCAGCTATGATCCCGGGTATGGTCCCGATCACAACTATTATCCGAGTTCCAACGGGAACTCCTCGGGAGCGGGTCACCCATATCTTGCTTTTGAGGACATCACGGCAACAAGAGCTTGGGGTTCTGAACCAGGACCACCACACCTCATGCCCCAGCGTCGTATTACCGAAAGCCCGGCAATCGAAGAAGGGCCTAGAAGAGATCTTTGCAGCTCCCCTTACTTTGGCAATACTTCAGCTTCGAGCTCTCCCGTCGAGCCACGACGCTCCAATATGGGTGCGCCTCGCAACAATCCCAGAACGCCCCGCAATCAAATAGTACACCCTTCTCCGTGTATTGCCTCAAGCTCATCTTCCTATCATCAGGATAGGGGAGAAGAACAAGGAAGTGATCTCGGCACAAGTGTTCCCAGAGCCAGGTACTCGAGCAGAACTCAGCTGAAAAAAGCTGAGGGCACAAGACGGAAGCCGGCTGCTCCAAGCTTCTACACCCAGTCCCCCGTCTCCATGGTTTCCTCTCCGGCCAATTCTCAGCAAGACATCCCTAAGAGTACATCCTACCCGTCATCCGACTCATTGTACGATCGCAATACCAAGAGTCGTGCAATGAGCACCAGATCAACCTTGCTCACGCCTGTCTTGAGTGACTCCGACTCCGACTCAGATGCTGAAGAGTCAAGCCTCCAGAAAAAACACCGCATCGTTGCATCCTCTCTCATCACCACTCCACAAAGGGAATCAGCTGTTCAGACATCAGCTCCAACCGTTAGTTCGGAGGAAAGGGATCACGTTATCTGTGCCGTATCAGAGAGTCGCTCTGCGGAAGTGGTTGGTATTGCAGTCATCAATATCACTACGGGACAAGTGGATTTAGCCAGAGTCCTGAACGATGACAAGTACATGTATCAGCGTCTGGGAGACACATTGTGGAAGATGCCGTCAAAACCGGAAAAGTTCCTTGTTGTCAACAGCGTCACGAACAACAACAGCAAGTCTTTGCTCATTTCTTGTCTAGAGCAAGACTTCCCAGCAGTTCCCATAGTGCTTTGGGGAAGGGAACATTGGAGTGAGGCAGAAGGGCTCAGGATGATTGAGCGTTTTGCACTTCGGGATCGAGTGATTGCCCTCAAGTCAGACCTTGAGAACAACTTCTACGTTTCGTGTGCCTTTTCTGCTGTAAGTGATCGGCGTCATTGTGGAGATAGATCGTTGGCTAACAATATCAAGGCAATGAAGTATGTACAGAACGAGCTGAACATCCATTTTGCCAGCAACGCGCTACGAGTCAGGTATATCCAGCCACTCAACACCATGGGTATCGATCGCACCACCGTTGCCTCGTTGGAGCTGCTGCAGAACACACGACGAGCCACTGCAAAGAAATCGACGCTTTTCGGTATACTGAATAGTACCCAAACCCCTCAAGGACACCGCTTGCTACGCACAACCCTCCTGCAGCCGAGCACAGACAAGGAAGAGATTGAAGAACGGTATGAATCAGTTGAGGAGTTGTCTACCAACGAAGAGCTTTTTCGTGAGTTGCGCAAAGCACTCAAAGGGCTTGATAGGATTGACTTTGAGCGCGTCATTGTATGGGTAAGTTGCTTTCAGCACTCTCCAGTCCCTCTAGCATGCTAATTCTTTCAAAGCTTAACCAGGAACAACCCAGACCACGCCAGCCTCTGGAGGAAGGCGTTCCCGGATCTACGAATCAAGGTCTACTTCTACCAACCCACGCGGAGCTTGCCAAAGCGGAACAAGAGTTGAACTATATCCTCATGCTAAAGGCATATCTTCGTGGTATCGACGCACTGCATAGTATAATTGAAGCAGCTGCGTGCAAAAGCCGCCTATTGAGATGGGCCAAGAATAAGTTTGCACCAGAGCACACTGAGCCCATCCAAAGCGCTATGGAAGAGATGATAGAGAATGATGCTGCCTACAGCAAAACCCCAATCGATTTGAGGAACAATCGGATGTGGGCCGTCAGAGTCAGTCGTCTTTTCTTGGTTTTTATTTACGGCGCTAACAGTTCGTCAGGCTGGGCGTAATGCCGTTCTTGAACAAGCACGGAGGTCCTTCAAAGATCTTACGGATGACCTCAACGGGTACTTTGATATGCTAAACAACCAGTTCAACGGTAGGTCAATCCCCCTGCATCCAGACTATCATCACTGACGCAGCATAGGGTTATTGGGAAATGGTGCAGACTTGTGCATGGATAGCAACCGGCGGTATTGGCTCAAGTTTGATTACTCGGATGTCGCACGTGAACTGCAAAACAACCAATCCGATGTTCAAAAGAGGAAGTTCGGCAAGGTCAGCCAGTGGAAGCAAGTCTCAATCGCCAACATCGACATTATCAATGGCACCCGTGACAAAAAGCACTTCAAATGTCAGACAACCGAGCTTCTCCAGAGGAGCAGGGCTATCCAGCTTCAGGCAGACATCGCAACGATGCAGAGCGATAACATGGTTATCGAGCTGAAAGAGAGACTTCAACAGCATTCGAGTCTCATGTTCGATATCAGCGATGCAGTTGCACTGCTCGATATGCTCTGCTCGTTCACACAAGCTGCCACCACCCAGGACTACGTTCGACCCATGATCACTGATAGCATGGTTCTCAAGCAGGCACGGAATCCAATTGTGGAGGTACGCAAAAGCGACTACGTTGCTAACGATGTCTACTCCGGTGATCAATCTGGACGCTTTCAGGTTATCACTGGCGGTAACATGAGCGGCAAGAGCACGTTCATCAGATCGGTTGCCCTCATTCAGATCATGGCACAAATGGGGTCCTTTGTTCCTGCGGATTTTGGGTCCATCTCCATCTGTGACAGAGTATTTTCCAGAGTCTCTACGGATGATGCGCCCGAGAACAACCTGGGAACATTTGGTGTGGAGATGAGGGAGACGAATGTCATCTTGAGGTATTATTTCCCTGCCCTGCAGTAGTTGATAACGATCTGACAGAATGTCTAGGCAAGCTACGACGAAAAGCATGATCATCATGGACGAGCTCGGCCGAGGCACTTCGGTAAAAGATGGTCTGGCCATCGCCATTGCTGTCAGCGAGAAGTTGATCAAGATGAAATCACGCGTCTTTTTCGCAACGCATTTCACTGGTCTTGGTATGTTCAGTGGAAGCCCCTCTCCGTTCATTCACCGCTAATGCCAATCGTATCAGCTCGACTTTTGAACGCACCATCCTATCAGAGAGATGTCCTGAACGTTCACTTTCGAGGACAAAACGAGATCTTACTGCCCCGGATCAAACTGCCACACACTCTCGCCGGAGGTCCCGTGAAGACTGAGGACTACGGCATCAAACTAGCCCGCATTGTTCTTCCTTTACCGGCAGTGTACAAGGCCGAGGAGGTCCTGAGAGTCTTGCAAGAGATGCAGAGGCCACCGCAGAGTGGAGAGAAGACGAGAGAAGCGAGGCAGAACAAGGTCCTGCTGGCTTTGCCTGGTGTACTCAGAGAAGCGCTGAACTCGAGCATGGATGATGCGGCATTGGTGTCGTACCTGCAGAGGTTGAAGACTGAGTTCACGCTTAGGATGTCTGAGGTCACGGACGTTATTCATGACCTCATTGAAGGTGGTCGAAAGCGGCCTGCTGAGGATGATGCTGAAGCTGAGAGTGGCGCAGATGAAGGAAGGGAGAAACGGAGGAGAGAAGAGTAGCCCAAGGACAGGAATGATCGATGGCAATGTTTGCAATGTGTAATGTATATACAACACCAAACCCGTGGCGAGGCAGAAGAGGTTGACGAGGTTGTTGATGAGGCCGCTGAGGTTAGAGAGACCGATGAAGGTCGTTCTGCAGAAGCTGACAAGGCTACGCAGGTGAAGGAAGGGAAAAGCGGAGGAGGGAAGAGTAGCCCAAGGCAGTCAGTGATGGGTAGCAATGTTTTCAATGTGTGATGTATATACAACAAACACCACACCCGTATGGACAAGTTCGTGATAATGATGTACGTTTCTCATATCTCATGTCTAAAACGAAAAAAAAAAGAAAGACAACTACGCCGTCCCAACGACCCAGAACCAAAAATGAAAACAGTGCAGTGACAGCCAGCTACAGACAGGCGACAACAACAAACAACGTATGAAATACGACACCCCCCTTTTTCATCATATCATCCACTCTATCAAGTTCTCTTCAGAACCCGTCTCTCCAAATATGGGTATCACCAAGACTAGCAGCACTCGAAGATGCGTTACTCTTCGGCGTTTCAGCCGGAGTCCGGGGCGTTCTTTCTCCTCCCCTACCAAGGCCGGTGTACATATCCGCGCCTAATAGGTCTGCATAACCACCAGTGTCGCGATTCTGCGAACTACCGCGTGAGGTCTCGACGCGGAGTCCGTTAGCGTTGCGAGAGGGACGACGAGAGCCGGAGTAGAAGTCACCACCGCCCCCGGGGTTGGACTCTTCGTCTGTGTAGCGGTCTTCTAAGCCAGAAAGGCCGGAGGAGGGGGAGGGAAGTGGTGGGGCGTCTTTGAAGACCCAGGGTTGTTCGAGACTATTTGTAAGGGTTAGTACTGAATTCCCAGTGGTGGAGGGAAAGGGGGGAAAAAGTGACAGGGAAAGGAGGAAAACAACTTACGGCTTAACAAGATTCGGATTAACAAACTTCGCCCCCTTCTCCTTATCTTCATCCACGGTACTCCCCCTCCTAATGCGTTCCCTCGTCTCCTCCCCTTCGCCATCGAGATCCTCATCCAGAATCGCGTTCCCGCCCCGGTCCTCGCCGCGCTTGATACTCCGCAGTGCAATGAACTTGGTCAGCGGCTCAAAGTGGCGACGGAACCAGTACCCGTACCAGACCGTGATGATCAGCAACGGGGAGATGAGCAGAGCGACGGTGAACGCCTTGCGAAGCGCGAGGTAGCCCGACATGGTCAGCTGGAAGACTAGCAGGCCGAGCATGATGCGGTAGCAGATCATGTTCCAGGCGGCGCCGGTGGCGTGCAGCGGCTGCTCCATGGCGTACAGGAGCTGGTACTTGTAGGTGTAGTAGCCGAGGGTGAAGTAGGCGACGCCGAGGCCGACGACCTTGTAGCCCTGCGGCAGGGTGCTGTAGACGAGGCAAAGGATGAAGACGAGCAAGGCCGTGGGGAGGTAGAAGCCGTAGTAGAACATGGGCGGGCTATCGATCTGGGCGAAGTCGCGCGGGGTCTTGGCGCCCATACGGTTGATGGGGTAGAGCGAGACGCTGCCGAACTGGAGCAGGCGGAAGGGAAACAGGCCGATGCCTTGGAGCATGATGAAGTTGGTGTAGAAGACACCGAGGTTTTCGATCTTGCCAGCCAGGGCGTAGGCGATGTACGTGGTGTCTTTCAGGCTTTCGCGCAGAACATCGATGATAGAGGTGACGGCGCCGAAGACTGTGAAGATGAGGAAAATGTTGAAGAAGGTGAAGAAGAAGTTCTTGCTGATGACGGAGAGGGCGGCGTCGCCGCGCGAGAGCATGCCCTGTTGGTACGAGAGGTAGTCGTAGAAGTACGGAACCGCAACGTTGAGCAAAGACACGACGGCCGTGGGGAGACCGGTCTGGACAAGCACTCTGGCAAGGTCGTATTGCTTGAGCCACTTTGCGAAGCCAGGGAGGTAATGCTCGATGGTGCAAATGCTCAAGAAGGATGCCAAGAAGGCAACTGGGACAAGCCATACGACGGAGAGGAACGAGACGAAGAGCGTCACTGCAACGGATCGCACACGTCTGGTTAAACGCGATGCGTAGGTGTTCCTCCAATCGATATCGGACGGTGCAGGGGCGGGTTTTGTTAGCAACTGGCCAGGATGAGGGTCAATGAGCGCCTGAATCGCCATTTGACAGGCTGCAATAGAGTCCATTGTCACGAAAGCAAGGTCGGTCGGCTCATAGTCCTTTTTCCTAGCGGCGCGAATCTTGTCATCCAAGACACGGAGCTTCTCGGTGTAGTAGTCAATAGCGTCGGTCTTGCGGCTCTGCAAGCGGAGAAAGCCGTACCAAAACCTAGTTTGAGGTCGCGGTCTTTCGCTCGAGATAAGATCGGAAGTGCCGTTGCCGAGAAGACGGCCGCTCTCGCCTGCTTCCTCATCCCCAAGGTCTGGAATGAGGCGACTGTTCTCAAGATCCCCATTGGTAGCCGTGTTTGGAGGGGGACCCCTAGCTACTTGCACCGGTTTCTGGGCCAAGTAAGCAGTCCATGTCTCCTCTAGCTTGGCGAGGATAGACTGCCGCTTGTCCATCAAATCGTCTAGCTCTTTCCACTTCCGGCAGAGAGTGACATTTTCGACCTTGCCAATTTCCAATCTCTCTACCAGATTCTTAATATCTTCCTCTGTGCGCAGATCCTTTGGAATCCCAGCCAAGCGGAAGGTCCGGTCAGTGATGGTGGATTGTGTTCCGAGGTAATCCTGGCGCACACGGAGAACCTTGAAGGTCTCGCGATTCATAAAGAATAGCGTAAGGCCGGTGAAGAAGTAAGTGAATACAAGGTAGGACCACAGGTAGGCCTTGCTCTTTTTGAAACTGTCATCAGGCTGCTCGGGGTCGTCATCATAAAGGGTGGTGTGGCCGTATGGGGAGGTATACTGGCGAAACAGTTCGGTGGTCGGGACCTCTGACGTGTTGAGTTCATCGGGGAAAGCCCGGTTGATGGGTTCAAGAACGGCCAGGGCGAAGAAGAAGACGATGACGAACAGCTTCATGGCCATCTTGAAGAAGTTGAGGAAGACATAGGCGTCAAGGCCGGCCGAGGCGAGGACCTGCTGCTCGGTGACGCGATATAGGGCGGGCATCCATCCGAAGAAGGTGTCTGGCAGTTGAGGGAGAGCGATCGAGGGATCGGCCATGGACGCCCTCTTTCGTGAAGCGTAGAGTGACTTCCATCGTGGTCGGAGGGCCTGGATATTGGGGACATGTAGGTTAGCAGATGATGCTATGACACCTTGATGGGCGCGCGCATAAAGGTACTTACACAGAAAGCCAGAAAGGCCGAGATGCCTAGAGAGAGCGAGATGATGAACTGGTACCAGGTATCCTTGTTTCCCGGGCCAACGTAGTCATCGCCATTGCACTTCTCGTGGTCGGCATCTCCAGCCTCGAGTATCCAGTTCATGGCGATCGCTGTGCTGTGGCCGGCCACAGGCGGGAGCGTGCGCTAGATCGGATATCGGATTCAGCCTCCGGGTTCGTGGTTCGAGGCTTCGCGTGAACAGGCGGGTTAGGTTAGGTGTATGAACGAGGGCGACATTGGGATATGGTCGCTCTAGTACAGCCGCATCGTATTCGAGGAAGGAAGAGGAGGAGGAGAAGCGAGCGGCGGAAAGATGTTCTTGTCAGGCCGAGGCGCAAAGATGTGGATGGGTCGGCGTGAGGTGTGATGGGAATTTTGGTGGTGCAGTGGTGCATCAGAGTGTCAGAGTGGTGCCCGCAGTGGTGCCAGGTGGAGGTGTGTTGTCCTGCGCTAACTTTCCACGATGATAGCGCCGCCGTGTTCTGCAGAAGGCAGCATCAACTGGAGACGACAAGGCCGGAAGGCGTGACAGTCGAGTGGTCGACACCGCTGCGAACTGGGGTTCGACTGGAGGCTGGGCGCCGTCATGCGGGGTGACGTTGCTTCCTTGATCCACCGTTGGGCATTGGGCACACGGGATCAGCCACATGTGGCAGCCTTGCAGGGCTCTTGCACAGCCACACCTACATCAGTGCCGGCAGGAAGTGGCAGCTATCAACCAACACCTCCGACCGTTTTGCTATATCCGCCCCAAGATATTTCAACCATGCTTTCTTTGTCACCATGGGATTGCAAAAGGGTTCCCCTCGAGTCGTCAATTACTCGGGAAAGCTGTATCGGACAGTCATGAAATCTCCTTGGCTTTCCCATATCGCGGTTGCACTGGCTACGCTTTCTGCGTGATACCTCATAATCATGTCTTTTGGCAAGTGTCACTCAGGGCATTTTTAGATTGCACTCTCAATTTGTCAATCACGCGTTGATGCTTTAGAAAGCAAAAGTCGCGGGTGAGACATTTCGTGTGCTATTTCCCGTCAAGGCGAAGATCCCGTCTTTTTTTTGACTATTGTCATCATATGGCATATTGTGTTTCTTCTACTACCTTCATAATCACCAACCAAAACCACTACATCCATTTTGTTCTAGCTTCTCCAACTTCGTCACCAGGTCCCCTAGGTGGTCATGTCGTCCCTTGATTCGACCCTCGATGCCCGCGAACTGGCTGGTGAACAGGGACAGCTGCTTGATCTGCTCGAGAAACTTCAATACGCCCAACTCGAAAATGTCAAGCTGCCTCAGATTGTGGTCGTCGGCGACCAGTCGGCCGGCAAAAGCTCTGTCCTCGAAGCTCTCACTGGAATTCCGTTCCCTCGCGAAGCTGGCGCGTGTACGAGATTTGCTACAGAAATCAGATTGCGCAGATCTGCCGAGTCCAACATCATCGTCTCCATCATTCCCGACAGAAACCGCCCCTCCAGTGAGCAAGAACAACTACTAGAGTTTGGCCGCCTGGTCAGCAGCAGCTCGCCATTCGATCTCACAGTGATGGCAGCCGCAGAACTCATTGCTCCAAAGGATAGTGCAGGACGCTTTGCCGCAAGGGACATCTTGGTGGTGGAGAAGAAAGGACCGGACATGCCACTGTTGACTCTTGTGGATTTGCCTGGCTTGGTACGGAATCCCAACAAGGACCAGTCTCTTGAGGACATCCGCATCATCGAAGCGCTTTCCGATCGTTACATGCGGAGTCCCCGTACCATCATCCTTGCCGTCGTTGGTGGTAACTCTGACTACGTCCAGGCTCCGGTCCTGACCAAGGCTCGAGATTTCGACCCTAACGGTGCCCGGACAATTGGTGTCCTCACCAAGCCTGACCTTACCGACTCCATTGGTCTTGAGGACAAGTTCATCGAGCTCGTCAAGAACAATGACCGACGTAACCATTTTCGCTTGGGCTGGTACGTCCTGTTGAACCCCGGCCCACGAAGTGAGGGCGAACCCTGGCCTTCTGCGGAGCAGCGGCGGTCGACTGAACGAGACTTCTTCTCCAAGGGCAAATGGAGCTCGCTTCCGGCATCTATGTGCGGAGCCAGCGCTCTGAAGCAAAGACTAAGTCTCCAGCTTCAGCAGCACATTGGGAGGCATGTCAACGCGTTACGCAGGCAAATTCAGAAGGCCTTGGATGATTGTGATGAGGAACTCAGGTCGCTTGGCACCGCCAAAAACACCCCCGAAGACATGCGCCTAGAGCTCATCGAGCTGTTCTATGCTTCCAATGAGCTAGTTGTCCCAGCAGCTCACGGCTTCTACAAAAACCCACCCAAGAAGAATTTCTTTCGTGTGACTGCAGATCCAAAGGGAACGCCGGCGCAAAATCTCCGGGCACGTGCCGCGGAGGAAAATGATCGGTTTTCAGCCAGAATCCGAGCTGACGGCCGCAAGTTCAAGCTTTCTGCTTCAAGTGGTCCCTCTGCCGCCGATGGACAATCAGCATCGAGCTACTCCAAGTCTGAATATGCCCGTCTAGAGGTCAGCAGACTTCTCCATCAGATTCGAGGGTCCGAATTCCCCATGGATTCCACACCCAGAGCGGTTTACATGTTATTCCAAAGCCACTCGGAGCCTTGGCCTAGACTAGCACAGGAGCACAAGGACAATGTTGGAGCGGTCTGCAACGATTTTCTCCGCGAGGTCATCAATCATATCTGGCCCCAGCGCATGCGAGAGCCTTTGCGCCGTCACTTCTTGGACTCTCATATGAAGGTACTGATGGATGAAGCAGACCGAGAACTGAAACACCTAATGCAAGACCTCAACCTTGAGGTTCAGCCTTACGACCCTGAATATCAAGATCGCCTGGTGGCCTGGAAGAAGCAAGCCGCGGAGACTGGAACAACCTACACAGAAGCCGAGGAGATCTTGGAGAAGATGCTAATCTTCTACGAGCTGTCTGCCAAAACATTCATTCGGAACGTCATCACCCAAGTAGTTGAGCGCCATCTTCTCCAAGGCATGTATGGCATCTTCAACCCCGCTGAAGTCATGGCGATGACCAATGAGGTGGTTGAGTCCATTGCTGCCGAGAATCAGGAAACACGGGACCGACGACAAGCGTTGACAGCACAGCGCAAGGCTATTGAAGAGGCCAAAGATGTGTGCACCAGTTTGGCGATGCGCAAGGAACTCAGAGAGGTAGGCATTACCCGCCCTCTTTGAGATACAACGCAGCTAACTGGCGATCGTGGTAGCAGTCGGACCAATACGGAGATCTCATCGATGCTACATCTGACGAAGACGAACCCCTAACGGCTACGAATCACGCCGCTGAGTCTTCCAACACACCCCGACGAAGACCACTACCCACGAGTATCCCTAACATGGTCGTGGATGCGCGTGGAAATCCAATTACGGAGGCCACGATCCGCGGCCCGCCACAACTGCCTATGTCTGTACCTCCGGTACCACCGCGACAGCTCCAGATCGCGGAAAGCACTTTAGGAACGTCAGATGGGTCATACAGTAGTCGGGGGAGGTCACAAGGAAACCAGCAGACTGAGAAAGATAAGAACGGAATCAGCCCTCCCAGTACGTCTTCGGTTGTGAGCGGGCTTCCTCCTTCTCTCCCGGAACCTCCCATGAAGAGGCACACTTCTTCGTTCCGGAGTATCTTCAAGTGATAATTGCCTGCCGGTCTCCGGCTTTGCACGATTCCCAATTCTTAGTTGAGTTAGTATCATTAGTAAACCCTGTTATCTTCCATTTTTATTCGTGAGTTTGGGTTATAGAACACAGGCTGGACAGCTGCTGGAGTTTGAGAAGCTTGTACTCCTAGTACCCTTTTGTTTATGTGCAGCAGCACTAATGTTCGGCAAATCAGGCCCGTTATTTCAACCTTAGCACTGCTTTCCACTCACTTCATCAAAATCATTTCTCTTGTTGGTTAGGCAAGCACATGCCGTGACCGCGAGCTGCAACCCACTCTTTCAAGATTTTACCAACTGAACCGTCTCAACTGTGATTTCCCAGGTCTCGTGCTATGATTGGGCAGCTTCCGGAAGGAAGTACTCTAATTGGTCAATTGCGTGTAAGTGGGTGGGCCCAGGCCGCACTTCACCTTCGCCCGCTGCTTTTGTAGCGTGCAAACCTACCCTTATCTCGGTCCCTTCACTCACACCTCCCACTTGAATTCGAAACCGCATTCACCTTTCCATATAGAATGAAGTGTTGTTTCCATGGGCTCTCTCTGGCCCAGCGTTGGCAGTGACTTTTGGTCTTCTAGGAAGTTCTGGGAAGGCTCAGTGGCTCATGCATAGCAGGTACATGACGGACCGGACATCAGGACTTGCATGCCGGCAGCTACGCCTTTCGAATTCTCGAGCATGCGTCCGACATAAAATTCCACGTCTCCTACTTGTAATCTATTGTATTTTTCTCTCCCCAGAACTTCTCTAGCAAATTATTCGAGACGTTTGCACGATTTACCAACACATTGCCGCTTACTACTCGTACCCCTTTCTACTGCGACAAGATGCCTCGTCAATTTCGACACAACCTCTCTTCCTCCTCCTCAAAGCCCTACCCCCCGGCTGAGTTAGAAGCACTTCTAAAAGAGTCCGAATTGCCCGGCCCTCCCACTCCCCTCCCAACCAAAAGCTCCCACGAGGAATCCGTCCTCGACAAAAATCTCCGCCTGGCCCTCTCCCTCCACTCCACCTCGCCTTCCTCCTCCTCCGCCGAGGAAGAAAACCATACCCCGGCCGACGACGCCCCATACCTCAAAATTGGTGCCGGCGCCTGCGGCGCCATCTTCGCACAAGCCGGGGGATCGGCCATCGTCAAGCTGGCCAAAGACCCCAACAACCCCGAGCTGTGGAACGACTTCCGCCAACACGTTAAAATAACCAAAAGCTTCGAGGCCCTCTTCTCCGACGACCCCCCCATCCAAATCCCCAAACCCCTGGGCTACGTCCCCCCAACCAAGACCTCCTTCTTCTCCGCCACCCCCGCCCTTGTCCAAGCCGCCGAGCCCATCATCAGCTCCCTCCCCACCCGCGCCCTCGTCGCCGAGCGCATCCTTCCCCTCCCCCGCAGCACCCGCCATCTTCTCATCGAGAAGTACTGCGCTCCCCGGGGCAAGCAGAAGGCCCTGGCCGACCCAGCCAACAGTGACTGCCTGGTGCGGGTCTACCTTGGCTCCACGAATGGCAAGAGCGGCGGCATGTTCTTCTCCCTTCGGAACCTCAAGCTGCACCTCAACCAGCTCACGGAGCTGGACCTCGACATCGAGGAACTCGCCTCCAGAATGGGCATTGCCCTTGCCGCCATGCATTGGGGGGCCAGGACCGACGCCCGGGACGTCGAATTTGTGTTGGGCGCCAGTTCGACCGAGCAGGTCCCCCAGGAACTGCAGGATGACCTCGATAACATCGAGGCAGACGCCGCGGAGCCACAGTACGTCGGCCCGGCCACCTACCACGGCCTCGACGACTTCTTTTGCCGGCAAACAGAGATGTGGGTCCTCGATTTCAACCAAGTGAGGGATATCACCCTCGATGATGCCGGGGTTGCTTTGGCCGTGGAAGCGGTTAAGCTCAATGACCCGTACTTTCCCAAGCCGCTCAAGGAGTCCGAGGCGGAGGAGAAGGCCTGGAAGGCTTTCGTGTTTAGCTACCGGAAAAACTCGCAGACCATCCTGGAACAGGCCCTAAAGGAAAATAAGGGCTTGGGCGACATGTACGAGATTCTGGCTTTGCCGAGGAAGTTTGTTTTGGGCATCGTCGAGCTGGAACGCGAGCGGATGGCCCGCCGTGAAGGCGCCAACGCATAAATTGGAGGGGCCATTTGTTAACACCGAGGCATGACTTTTGTTTGCGGAGGCCTGGTTTTTGTTTGCAGAGGCAGACATTTGATTTTTAGAGGCATGGATTTTCATTGTAGAGGCGTGATGGACAGCACATTAGGCGCTGAGAAGATATTTTTCTAGACAAATCTCATACACACGGAAATTGAGAGACAGACCCTGGAATATAAGATCCTGGCTTTGGCCACGTACCTTTTCAAGGCATTATTGAACTAGAGAATGAGCAGATGTCAAGGCGTGAAGAGAATGTGTAGTTGTGTGAAGAGCTTTATAGACGTCGAAAACTCTTTCTCAAGAGTTATTGAGGCGTCATCTTCATTAACTAGGGCGTTCCCAGTAATACATGTGGCCTGATTGGCATCTCTCGATGCATTAGATTCCATTTGACGTCCCTTTTGAATTTATCGATACGCACAAAAACTCTCGTGGTACGCATTTTCTAAACGTGGTTAGTTCTTTTGGACAGTCCCATGAGCGTCTCACTTCCTTTATATGACGTTCTTATGGACTCGTAGAGCTTTCTAGACGTCGTTAATCCCTTCTCACAACGCACTGAGGTGTTTTCGGAGCTTTCTCTTGGGTTTTCAAATCTCTTTGGGACGTCTGTACTCATTTCATCCGGTTTCCTACCTCCTATCACCACCTTAGCCGGGCAATAACAGACTATTCAGATTCATAGCAAATACGATCATGATACTCACAAAGTTACATTATATTACATGGACACTATCGTACTTAGACTAGGTATCATTTTGTCCTCGGGACGAAACAACCCTATCAGCCTCAACCCACCCTATCATTGGTATATCCCTCTCACCGTTATTCCGCCATTTTCATCCCGCACATCAATTAGCACCGAGAAATTGTCAGACCCGTCATTGCCAGTAGCCACAAGTAAAAGGCTAAGCCAGAACGCCGGCAACAGGAAGCAGAGCCGAGGAAAGCAAAGCCAACACACGCCCCAACGACACAACATGAAGCCAGACCAGACCAATTTGAGAGAGAAAAAGCCGCTTTGGATATCCCATCATTATACGACGCTAACCATGAGACCGAGACCCAAACCAATACACACAGGGAAAGAAAAAAAAAAAAAAAAAAAAAGAAAAAGATAAAAAGACAAGAAGAAAAAAAGAAAATAGGCTGGAAGCACAATCATAACGAGCCACCCCTAATGACTCGCACGGTGCCCAACCGATTGGGATCCATCGGCCCCTTCTTGCCGCTCTTCTTCTTACTACAATGGCTCCTCGTCTCGTTGAAATCATCCTTCATCGCATGCGGAGGAGCATGAGGAACACCATGATGTGCATACCCGTACGAGCCTCCATTCCCGTTTCTCCACGCTTTATACCCTCCTGCATTCAAATTCCCATTCTTCTTCCCAGCGCCCACGCCATCGACTCCCGCCACCACACCACCGGGTTGAATAGGTGGTGGCAACCCATCACTCCCCAACCTCACCCCCCTCTGGCCCCCCATCACATTCTGCACTCCTCCAAATCCCTCCACCGCCGTCCCCGCCCCCGGTCTTTTCTGTCTTCCTCTCCTCCCCTCCCACCACCTCCCCAACCAACTCCCTTTCCACAACCCCTCCACTTCTTCTTTCAAAACGACCCACGTCGTCGCCGCAAAAATGACCGCGTTCCACACCCCCTGCAAGGGAAGTACCACGGCACTCGCCAGATTAAGCGGGTAACTGGTATTTTTTGGGTAAAGCAACGAGTGCACCCGGTTGATGCTGGAGGGCGTCCAGGTGACCAGGATGGAAATGGCAAAGACGAAGGAGGTGCGCAGGTAGGCGAGCTTGATGGGGTCGAGGCGGTGGAGCTTGGCCCAGAATTTGCGGAAGGGACGCCGGATGGAGGAGAGGAGGTTGTGGTGGTGGAAGCGGGTTTGGTTGTGGTGGTGGGAGTTGGAGCAAGAGGGGGTGTGCACGTGCGTGGTGGTGTTGGAGGTGCGGTTGTAGGAGGAGTAGGTGTGGCCGTAGCCGGGACCACTGTGGTTGTAGGTGCGGTTTTGGGAGGTGGTGTAGGTGGTTTTCTTGAGGCTGGATTTGGGACAACCCCCGTTGGTGGTGGTCCCGTCGGTTGCGTGGTGGACGTGGACGTGGCGGAAGGGAGGGGAGCCGGAGCCGGAGCCGGCGTAGACGGCGGTTGGAGGGACGATGTGGTCTTCGCTGGAAGAGGAAGACGAGGAGCAGTTGGAGGCCCAAGGGTGGATGCTGTTGTTTCGGCCCGGGGGGTGGGCGGCAAGGGGGACCTCGGTGATGGACGGGGTCGGCGAGGTCGGGCAGGTCATCGGTTGGATGTCGGTGTTGTCGGAGATGTTGATTTCGACTTGGGTGGTGACGGTGCCGTAGGCTCCTGGATGGTTGGTGAGATCCTGTGTGCGTGCGGCAAGGAAAGTGTCAGCAAGGGGTAGACATAGATCTCGCATGCTTGGGAAGTGATACGACAGTAGTGACGTAGCGTGGTGTTACATGGGAAGGAGGATGAGGAAAGCAAAGTGGAAGAAGACCAATGCTGGTAAAGCGCGACTGACCATGGGAATAACAGTAGGGCATGGCGAATTCTGGCCAGCGCTGATTCCATAACTGTGCTTCTCGCCTAGTTCTATGTGTTCCCTATGATCAGATCTAGAGCAGTTCTTCCCTTGGTTACTGAATGTCAAATTCCGTAGCTGGTTTCGCTGGTGGAACACCTGATAGCCCACGGCAAAGTATACCAGTCCAGAGAGAAAGATGCACGACCAGATAGGTAGATAGTAGGTGTAAATCCGGAGAGGATTCCATGTGTCGGCTATCCAGCACCACAACTGTGAGGATAGTCAGCATCTCATGACCAAACTGCCTCCACAAGGGTACCTAGGGATCTATACCGTGGCATTTCCATAGTATCGAGTGGTGGCAGGACTGTGAGCGAGGAGGACGATTGCCGGAATCGAAGGAAGTCCATAGCACACCAGGCAATACAACCAGAGGTAGTCGCGAAAAGCGTTGGGGTTTAGGGCGAAGAAGAAAACCAGAAAGACGTTTACTGCCATGGCAAGTGACCACCACGGGTCTGATTGCATGAACCTGGGGAGAAGTGTGTTAACGCGTTGTCCATCTCAGATGATTCTCACCATAACCTCACTTACATCTCAAGAAGGAACGCCTGAGTGTGGCAGAGCGCCGAGTTCTCGCCGGCCACGATACCCGCATAGCCGATAATGCACGCCGTGCTAGCCCCGACATTGGCGATAGACGCAAAGAGGATGAAGGTGTTGGGTACTGTCCGTACTCGCTTGAAGAGGCCATAGGCCATGAATATCAGGAACACCCCAAGCAGGCTCAGAGAGGCGCCAATCCTCTCGACATCCTCGATGGTGTTCCGCTGTGTCTGTGTGAGATTCATGTAGCCTTGACTGTATTCCACAGGCGGTTGTTCGACCTGAGCCTGGGTGGAGCCGGTGAACTCGGCCATGGTGAAGGAGGGGAGGCGAAAATATCTTAAGTGTATTTAGGAACAGGGATAGATTAATTGGCCAAGCCCTGTCTTTGGCTTCAGACCTGTGTTTGGGCTGAGAGACGGCGTAGCAATCTGACAAGCCAGGCTCAGGATCCCGATTTGGAATGTGTTGGACCGCACGTGGCTTGGTTCTGAAAGCAAGACTGCTGCAAGTGCAGAAAGCGGCAGAGCGAGCAGGAATGCCCAAGAAGATCCCGCGGGGTTGGAGACTGTGTGGTGGTAGATGGGCGTCGTGTGTGGGCGTGAGTCTCTTGCGGCTGTACTGTGGTAGAAGCAGGCTGGCTTCATCGAACCAGTAGGATCCGGAACGAGCCCACCCACCCAACGGTCACTCCCCGCGTCCAGAAACGAAAAAGCAAAGAATTGGAAGGATTGGAAGCGTGCCCGGCCTATCTCCACACGCCAATGACGATCCACTGCCGGCGCGGTTTGAGAGGCCGATCGGTCGGGAAGCCGGCCACGGAAACGTTAGTGAAATCAGGGTGAGGTGAGTATCAGATGCAAGCCGTCTATTGTGAAGATGTTTGCTCTCGTACAATTCGCATCAAGTATTGAGCCTCCTGACGGCGCCTCTATTTCCAGGACAACGGATAGTCGGCAGATTTGGTGCCCCTTGATGGGATTAGGCAAGTGAGTCGTGTGATCAACGGTGTGAATTGGCTGTGGGTTGACAGTGGACAAGAAGAGAAGGGAAGGTGTCGAGAACAGAAACCTTGGATGATGGTTTGTCTGGGGAAGATGCGGGATGAAAGACAGCTGAACGGCAGCCACAAAACACGCGCTTAGTCGATTGCACGAATGGACTGGACCTCCCCTGACGAAACTCGATAGCAACAGGCCTTGGGTCTCGAATTGGTGTGAGATGGCGGTCTTGGTTTTTGGCAGCAATTCGACGCGGTACTTGAAATTTGCCAAACCTCCAACAGATGGGACTTTGCTCCTTATAATCCCATTCCAATTACTTTCGCCACCGATGCGCAAATAAATGGAGGAAAAATGCTCAACAAACTGCGGAAATCCAGCTGTATAGCATGTATCAGTTTAGTTGCGCTTCCGTGCTCCGGGAGTGCTGTTGGGTGCTGAACAGGTGTTGATGTTTGGCCGAGCATTGTATAAGTGGTAAGCATGTTCGGACTACGCGGTACTCCTCCCAGCATCTGGCGAGGCACGAATCCGTCTCTCTTGTCCCTAACACGAGGGAAGTAGCATGGGCCTTGCGGAGAGCAACCAGTGTCCTGCAGGAGATTTAGTGTTGTATGATGCAAGCCACCGGTCCAGTCGGAAAGCAAACTTGCCTTCCGTCTTTGTGTGAAGGTCGGGTGCGAAGCAAATGCGTTCTGGGGCTCCAACTGTCTGATACGCATCCCATGAAGAGGCGGACTATCTACCATCACTTTGTTAGCAACCAGAAGTCACCCTAGCCAGCACGTTTTAGAGTTGAAGGGCATACCTCAAAATGGCAGTTGGATACCAACACGACTATTGTCCAACGCCAACAAGAGACATCAGATATCGTCTGGCAAGCTGTCGTGTTGTGCACGGGGGAAACACTCGATAACCGAGACGGGCTCACGATCCGGTTTCTCCATGTCGTTCTCCTTTCCTGGCCCTGAGCTGGTCTGCTGTGTCCCAGTCCGTCTGGCCAGGGAGACGCTGGAACTCGGACCAGATTACTTGTGCGACCTTGCTGTGAGTATGCGCCTGGTTCATTGGTCGAAGCGGAACTCGTCGAGGTTCACAGCATATGGAACCCATCAGCTGCGATATGCTTCCCAGACGAGACGGTTCTGGTGCTCCGGTCTCTGTCTATGATGAATCTGAGCCAATGTGAGCGCACCTGGTGCTCCCAGTGTTGGAATAAAACATGATACGGACGATGATGCGAATGAAGACAATGCTGGTCGGCGGTCTTTGTTAAGAAAAACGAAACGTCATCCTGCCAGAGATGCAGGTTGTATCGGACACTGGTCAGCAAGCAGTGTGATTGTAGTTGCCGGTCTCGATTTTGATAATTTTGGTGGTTGGATATTCGTTAGTACCTCTTTAAACTTGGTGTTGAACAGGGGTCTGGCCATATGCGTAGGGCCATTGTAGGTACGGGATGCCTGTTTGCCCTCTGCAGAGGGATTGACAGCATCGTTGTGCCCCGCTAGTGTGAGGTCAGTGAGGACGTATGCAGTTTAGTTCCAGACCAGGTTTGCTAATAGTCCACGTCGTGTGAGCAGCAACTAGCCACTTAAGGGTATCCCAAACTTCATGGGTAGGGTAGGATTGGAGAATCTTATAAAAAGGAACGGTCAGAACTCCAAAACAAAGAAACCGCAGAAAAGAAGCAAAACCATATCTCCACGATCACCGGGTAGGTGACGCTTGACGGTTTTCTTGGCTGCCAAATCACGGGAGCCTCCAAGGACGGGAATAATTGCCATCTCTCAGCCAAATCTCTCACGTCCAAAAATACGGTGGCACCACACCTTCCCGTCTCCTCCCTAGGCATGTTACAGATTCTTTTCTTCGTTTTCGATACCAATGGCACAGCCTACCAAGCCGGACCACGGCCCACGGCTCAGGAACTTCCGTTGCCAGGAGCTGCGAGAGAGTCATTCATGAGGTGGTAGGGGAAGTCAAACATTCCACTTCGAGACGACGACCTACTGAAAGAGAAAGCGGTATAGATATGCCCTCTCTCCCTCACGCCGCGACAAAGGTTCCGTTGGTTTGAGTGGCCAGACTGGTGTGAATGACTTTCCGGGACCTTTGTTTCGACGGGTAGCTGCGTGCCCTGGATGCGACAACGGCCGCCTCATCCTGGTCGCGATTGGTGATTGAACCAAAAGGTACGACACTACGTGCAGATCCAATCTGATAATAACCCCATTGTCTGCTGGACTTATGGTTACAGAAGTAACCTGCCGGCTTGGCGGTGCAGACAACGAGCACAGAGTTCCAGCCATAATAACAGGAATATGAGGCAGATCAGGTAGGTTGCCGATGAGGCGACCGTAGGCGCGAGCGACGGTCTCCCTCCCAGGCCTTTTGGGATTTTATAGGATTAGTGATCTATCGAAGCTTTGTGTAAGCGGCATAAAATCGGAGCCCTTCATTCCAGTGTACATTATTGTGCGGTAACACCAGGCCACAAACACCAAGGGCAATGATCATCTTCACCTACCAACCTACTTCTTACCAACAGGTACTACCTCTAGGTAACAGTGACCTGAGATCGCGGCTCCGTGGTTGTAAACACACAAAGCGTTCTGCTGTGCTCCGTGAAAGCGTTGGTTCCCTGACCACTCGCTGTCCCTTGCGGTCTTTGGAGGGTACTGACTTCTTCGTACCTCATCGTTAGACAGCTTGATTTGTAGTGACATGATGCTGTAACATCGAGATCCGCTCGTAGCTGTACCTGCATTAGTCACCTGGCCTGCGTTGAATGGAGAGAATCGCAAAGTGTCTTAGACGCCAAAAGGTAGGACTCACATTGTTTTGCCTCTTAACCACTCGAGTGCCCTTCGTCACCTCTCAGTCGTCTCATCTCTGTGGTCTGTGGTGTTCTCTCACGTCGACATACATGTTTGTTCATCAAACAAGAACCGTTATGTACTTGGCAATTTGGCTTCCTTGGCCGAAACCTTCTTTGTGGTCGGAAAGACAACTGCCAGAGAGCAAACATTAACTGCACGCCTGTCTTGGGTGGCTCGTTGCAGCTTCCAGACGACGAATGGCCTGAAAGCCACCGGATTTATCGCACCTCTAGGATTCCATCGCCACTAAGCAGGTTGCTGGATGAAAGATGATATTGGTTGTGGCACTATCACAACTCTCGGCACTCTCATCCACCTATGTATGCGCATGTGGGCACATCGACTACATGTCAACCCAAACTTTCTTGCTTTTTTCTTGACACTCAAGGCTCACTCACACCAAGGGTCTGTGATAGCATCATTTGTGGCTCGCTACTATGGGTGCCATTATCACACTGCATCTTGCTTCCCATGTGAACAATCCCAATCGCCGATTCACCGTGTGTATGTCCCCTCAATGATATAGTCTTTCTGCGGCCCCTTGACTCGGTAGGCTAGAGACCAATCTTTGAGGTTGATGGCCTTGAAGTTGAAGCGGTAGTCGACGTCGTAGAAGTCGTCGATGCATAGATGTCCAGCATTTGCTCGCCATGCTTGGGGTGCACCCTCGGTTTCCGTGTCCGGAATAATGAACTCCACTTGGTGAAACAGATAATCCGCCCTCTTTTGATCGTCCGTCTTGACGAACCAGACGCTCAGCTTGTCCTTCTTTTCATCATACCTCCAAACATATCTCCTTGTTGCACGGAAAGAGAGGCCGTTGGAGGCAGCGAACATGCCTTCCTCAACGTAGAGATACTCCAACCCGATATCGTCATCCCTGTCCAAAGCAGCATCGTGCTCGGCTTCACGTCCATCTCTTGTACGTTCCCTGAGCAGGAACCTGGCAGTACCGCTAAAATGCCCGCTCGGATGAGTGGGAAGGCGACTCACAAGATCCCTCTCCAGCTTCCACTCGCCCAAGAGGGAACGGAAGACAGCTTTTGCAACAAACCTTGCCGAGGAAACACCAGACCATGTTGTGCTCTCAGTCTGCTGAATGGACTTGTCGACTTCTGTACGTTGTGCCTCACTTGTTCGCTTTGCCGGATAGCGTGCTGGTGTCAGGATGTCCATGCTTTTGTCAGCTGGTGGAACTCTAGGCATCTTCCCCAACGGTGGTATGCGGTCAATTTCTAGAGCCTTTGAAAACTCTTGCATGAGCCATGGGTAATCGCCCATGGGAAACTGAGAAACTCGAGGATCAGTTCGTAGAGCCAAAGTCCGCTCAATAGAATCATCTTCACCAAGAGCGACGGCCATCTTGGGAGGAAGTGACGAAGAAGCAGGTCCTCCGGCCGTCCACAAAGCTGTGACAAAGCGGGCTTGCATCTCCATGACACCCCAATAAGGTGATCGGTAGAAACCGACAAACCCTAAGGAGGGAATTGCTGGATGATGGGTACCATGAAAGGCCAAGGCAACAGTAGTGTTTAGGTCAGAGGGCACCACCGACAGGGTCTCTTGGACAGAGGATGGCAGGAAAGAGATGGATGATGCTGCCTCGAAGCCAGTTGCTAGCACTACTGCCGCAACATTGTCGATTTTGCTTACATCTCCCCGAGCTGTTGTGACGGTAACAGTACTGCCGGTCAGGGAGTCTACTTTTCCATGTGACACCGATATGAGTCCGCTGCGGACAAAGTCTGCATAAGTGTCACTAACGGCCAGGTAAGGGGGCTTGTCCGTGTCGGTGTTTGTAATGGCCAGACTGGGTGAGAAGTCGGACTGATCAGTCCCCAGCATTGTTTCGAAGATTGAATGACGTGTCTTTGCGGCCTCTGTCGAGACATGGCCTTGCATATTGGTTAGGTTGTCGGGTCTGTTGGCTAGGTTGTATGAACAAAGATCCATAGGCAAGAACGGCGGTGCGGGAGAGGCAGGCTAGTTGAAGATACAGTAGTTAGCCCAAAGTACTGAGAGGAATGCACCTAGTGGGGATGGGCACCTTTGGAGATGTAAACAGCGGAAAGACCCAGACAGGCCTTTGGCAAACATGGTGAATCGAGTACTTGTCCAAGTCCTGAAGAGTGCTTGAACCAGGCGAGTGCAGTGCAGACGAGAGATGGGTTGCAATAGTACCGGCAATCTCAACACCCGACATTTGGCCTCCAACCACCACAATCTTGCGCCCTGCACCTTTTGTCTGTTCGAGTAACGCGCTGAGAGTCCTGTACTGACTGCTGTGGACAACCGGGATATCACCACTGGTGGCCACCGGTGGAGGTATCACTGGCTTGCCGAAGAAACCGGATGCGACAAGCAGGTAGTCAAACGTATGGTCGAGCTGTTGGCCATCTTGGGAGCATGTCCGGACCTTCCACTTGGCTCCCTCAAGCAGTTCAGAGTGGACAACACGCTCGCCAAGGCAAAGTTTGGCGTCCTGGCAGTATCGATCATGGTATCGCTCGAGATAGCGTCCAATGTGCCAGGCTCTGGGAAATTCGGGGGCGTCATCGGGCCAGGCCAGGTCGCTGAACTGGACGGTATGTTTGCTCTGGTTAGCTGCCATGAGCGGGTGAACAAAACCGGCGTTGTCGTCCTTCCTCGACGGCCAAAGACCGCCCAGACGGTTCTGGGCTTCGAAGATGGTGACATCGAAGGTCCCCTTGGGCTGGTCATGGAGGAGTGACTTGGCTGCAACTAGACCAGACGGACCAGCACCTGTACCAGGGGATGGTTAGAAAGCCATGGTTACAGAGAAGAGATGTGTGGCGATATTGGGCGTTGAAATGAGAGTGAATGAGTGGAAAAGTGCATTCAATAGGAGTGAATTTGGTGTTGATTTTGGTGTTGAAAAGGCATGCGGGCGTGTGGTGTTGAAGGAAAAAAAGAAGGGAAAAGGTAGGGCAGGCGCATAGAAATGGAAACAGAAGGCAGCTTCAGAAGGCAGAGGTACGTAGGCGCTGATGGCTTGGAAGTGGAAAGTAAACATGAAGGAACACACCAACAATGCAAACTTTCTTTGGAGCCGCCATGATGCCACGAATGGACCGGCCGGCTCGTCTGCAAATGGACGGTCCGAGGGAGCTCAGGTTGGTAAATATGCCTCGGACCCGGATGTCGGGGGCTCGGCGTGGTCAGTCGCGATGTCGTTAATGCAGTGAGCAGCTTCAAATTTGAAGCAACTCCGAGTGGTGTTGATGTTGGAAATGGTTCCACCTTTTTTGTCAGGGACGAAAGTGGGTCAGCTCATCCGATGTCCCCGATTGACAGCAGACCACAGCTGGCATAGGTGACAGCGTATTGCAGGGGTCAGGCATTGGGCGATGTCTGGCAGCTGACAGATTCAAGAATGAGGGGTGAGGGGTCAGACCAATTAAAAGTTATGGACCAGGACAGCTGGGGAAGGTGGAGGAGGGTGGTTGCGGGGAAGACAAAATTGAGGGAAGGTTAAGATAAGGTTAAGGCGGGAATGGAGAAGGCGCAGATCTCCCCGCACCAAATGACCCCACCCACTAACAGACTAACAGTGGAGCCCCGCGAGACTTTCATCCAACTCCAAGTCAAGTGACCAGACTTCCAACACTTCACCCTGCGCTCTTTGCTTGTGAGCTTCAAACGAACTGTTTCTATTCCCCAAAGCCAAGTAAGAAATGACTTCCTTTCCTGTTAGTGACCCGCTAATTTCCTCTGTTTCCCAGGGCACCTACCGAGTTTCAACAACACCTCATGGTCCGAAGCCCCAACACACACGGAAGCCTCCATTCAGTCGGGTCTTGAAAATTGAGTTGGGTGGAGAACGGGATTTTTAGTCTCCATGGCCCATGCCGGTCACGGTCCGCCTGCCGTCTGGCAAACATCTAGCACCTTTTACCGTTCCAAGAATCCAGGACATCCCGTCGTCCATTTTTACCTTGATTCGAAGAACAAACAACCTACGCTCCAGGAGTTTAGTCCCAGCGCTTTGGATCCGGAATCACATTCCCTATCCACCGGAACTCTATCTGATCCCCTTCGCCTTTCAAGTGACCTGCAACACAAACACGACGACACGAACACCCAGCATTGCAGTGGTCTTCAGCTGACCGCCTAACCTCTTCGGCCTCCCCGTCCACAGACATGACAGTAGCCGAAGCCGGGCCGATACCAAGAAACATCAGCCGCCCGCCCCCCACGCTAAAATCCGGCCTGGACGCCTGGTTGTCAGTTCGGGCCCATTTGCCGCCGCCATTCCGGAGCAGACGGTGCAGGTGTTTGATGACGCCAAGTCCAATATATTTCCACCACCAAAAGCCTCGAGGTACCCAGCCGCCATGGCAACACAGCATCCACCGCATAGCGTACCCATACTTGAGAGGACACCTGCCTATCTGGACGACAGCAGCTCAAGAAGGGATCCCCTGGATCGCCATGGACCCAACAGCCAACCCCAAGCGGTGAATAGCGAGTCGCTTGGTCGTGTAGCCGGACACCCGACGCACTGCACCTTTCCAGATACCTTCGACATGGCCCTCTTCGGGAGCTGGCAGATCTTGCTCGTCGTTTGGCACAATTCTCCTAATTGCTCCTGCAGCCATATCATTCCACCGCACAGCCCTCGAGCCTCGAGGCACAGAAAACCGCCATGAATCCATCGACAACACTGCAGTCAAATTTCCCAACCGCCATGGGAAAGGCAGAATGCCCATGCCACATGGCCCCTGGGTATGGGTACCTGACTTACCCGATGTCCAAGGCTCAGTCCCCAGTCTGCCAGTGACCTACCAAGCAAATCGTGGCTTTATTAGCGCCAGGGGAGGAAGCACAGAAACAAACTAGAAAACCGCTTCTCGTCTTGGCAGCTTCTCGCTTGTCCTGACCACTGCGTACCAGTACCCAGCGAGCTAGCCCAGAGGCTACTCTGGCCCGTCCCGATCGATGGCGCTATCATGGGGTTGATGCCGTCCAAGCCAAGAGGAGACTTGGCCGCCGACATTGTCCAGGTAAGCGTCCTCTAGCCTCTTCCCAAAACACTACAGCCCATGCCCCTAGTCATAGAGACGTACAAGTACCGGATTACAGCCCTACACACATTGGCCACCGTCTCTGCCCTCTGTCCTGGTCCAGAAAAGTCAAAGAAGAGGCCACAGTTTGCCTCTTAGCGAGAGGCCACTGTCCGCTTTGAAGGCAGGTTGGACAGACGCAATGGACGAGCCGGCCGCTCGCAGCAGCTTGGTGACACGGTTCGACTAGTGTCAGGAGCTGGAAATCCTTCGATATTTCCCAAAAACGTCGTCAATGTTTCCATAGCTAATTGCTTTTCTTCTTGTTGAGTACAGCCACAGATCTGGCGGAACGTCTTCAGCACGTGGATCGCAAGTAGTCCTACCAGACAGCGGCTGCTTGCTCATGGGCCGCTATTGCAGGCGAGACCTGCCAAACGATAACCCACAAATCATGACCATGGTATACGCTGTCGCCTGAGCGGGTACACGCCTGAAAAGTTTCCCAAAGCAATAGTTGTTGGCCTCTTGGGCGACGGACTACAACAGCTAGCCAGCAACGGTAAACCGAAAGGACCGCACCTTCACACAAAGCAAACTTGGCCCACCCAGAAACTAATCAAACTCCAAAACACCGCGGCCTTTCTTGACTCGTTTCTCCTCGAACCGGGCATTGTCATCTGCCCCTTTTCGTGTGGCGTCCGCATGGGAGCAAACAAGCCATGCTTTTGTCCATGCCGCGCCGTCTGCCAAGCTTGAACTAAGAAAGTGGTTTCAACGGATTATCCACCAAGACAGTGCACAACACGTTCTCTCTTCGGAACTAGTACTCGGGTTGCAACACACCTTGACCTCAGGACGGGATGGTGTGGTGCATCCATATGCATTTCCTTTATCTAGCGCGCCCATCAACTCAGCCTTCTCCGAATCAACACTCTGCCAGCAACGACCAGAGATTCGGAACGGCAGTCTGTGTCATGTCTGAAACATGAATGACCTCCTTGGCGAATTCTGCGCGCGCAGTCGCCGAGCACGCCGTTCTTCGGACCGTCAACAATGAATAATCTGGTACATGAGTCTCACTAAAGGCCGTAATGGCCAAAAGTTACCAGTTGCTGCTGTGCGCTTGAGGGGGCCTCCTAGGGTTGAGGATTTGGTGATACAAGGCCTGCTGAGACACCATGTCGCCCACAGATGACGGATGCCAGATTATCTTGGTCAAGAAAAGTCATTTATCTGGCATTCCTGGTCTATCAGTTACTCAACATGAGCGTCAAGCCCGGTATGAAAAAGACACTCCCTTACGCACTTCCCAAAATTCTGCTAGGGTTTACTTTCCGGCTGCCATGTTCCAAGGCCATGGAACAAGCAAGTGATGTGAGGCAGCACACCACTCCCGCTTGGCGGTTCAGACACGAGCACAAGTACTTCTCGCTCCCTCGTTTGCTAACCTCTGACGAACCACGAAGCAGGCATCACCGGTGCCGATGTTCCAAGGGGGTTCTAGAAAGATGAAAATGCACCTCCCTGTCTGGGTATAACTGTCCGACTCTCCGGTCGCGTTGAACACCTCGTCTTCGGACGAGAGAAACTCACCATATGTGGGTCACGGACATGAGAAAGTCAGCCAGAAGCCTGTCCAGAAACCAACCAACAAGGCACCCCTCCCGAATCGTATTATTGTTGAGGTTGCTGAAGCGGGGTATTCCCTGTGGAATAAGAACGTATGCAACAGAACACTCTGGAGTTCGGTTTGACAAGTCTGGTGAGCGCTGTAATGACAGATGCTAGAAAACGTCTTGGTAAGATGTGAGATTGAGGGGATAATATCAACCAGGATCCCAACATACTGGGACCGCAGAAGGGAGCAAGCAGCAAGCCTGAGGCTCCTAGCATTAGGGAAACCACTTCCACATGAATGTTTGCCCAGCCCCAGTATCCATGCTCACGATCATTGATATGCCTTCATGGCTGGCTGTCATGTACCTCTACGAACACCGAGGTATGAGGTGTGCCAGGAGCAGGGGTAGAGGCGGTGTTGAGTGCATTGGTAATCGGTGGTTAAGGATAATGGGACAATATGTATGGGATCTGCCGTCCATCTGTCCCAGTGGGGCCCGTAGGCGCATATGCAGCGTGTCGGATGCTGCAAACTACTTATAAGCTGCCCCAGCTGGTTTAGCCTCCTCCCCTCCGCATTATCAACCCCACCTGCACCCATCGTCCCCCGTCCTCGGGGATAACCTATTTTGGGCCACACATTCCATTGTTCTCTGTCCCTCACTCCAATTCACCCCCATTCCCCTCCCTGGGCTGTACCGGTACAGCAAACACTAACAGTGCAATCGTTGCCCGGCTAGTGTACAGTCCTGCCTCAGAATCTCAAATAGGGTCGACATTTGAAGAGGGCTTCTTCGACACAGTAGGAGGGTTCCATCGACCAATTGCGTCCTGGCCGGCGAGTTATCCAGGTCAAAGTGCCGAACTGCAAGACAGGAGGGCCAAAAGCTTGTCACGTTTTGCGGCGGAATTTCCGGTTTGGGTTGCTTCGACGCTCGCCAATCTCCTCCTTTGCTCCGATCTACATCCCCAGGATCTTCTCAACTTAGCGTGGCCGGAACCTGGGCAACGTGGAGTTCTGTTTTGTTCACCTTCGTCTGGGGAAAGCTCCGCAAAACTCCACCTCTCCAGCTTTACCAATCCCTCTTTGACGTCTCTAACGCAAAAAAGAAAAGGACATTGCGACAGCTCGGCAGATTAGGACCGAGTGACGCCCCCCGCGTGAGGATTTCCGAAGCAAAAAAAAGACCCACGCCGACCAAATTCCAGAATCAGGCTGCCCCGTATTGGGCAAACATGAGCAATGGGTTCGTCATTGTTCTCGATTCGTATCATTTCCATTGCCGATTCGTTGTGATGATACATGATTCCCTGCCTTCCCCTCCCTCCCTTTTTGGTGCCAATTTGCAGATAAGAGCTCGTCCCATCCAATCTTTCCGATTTTCTACTTCCACCTCATCCATTCATTCTTTGTGTTTTTTTCTTCCCGTGCAATATCCTCTCCCGCTTTGCCTATTTTGAGATCTTCAGAGGCAATTCCGAGGACGTTATAAGTCATCGGTTTCTTATCACATCTTGCCGTTTGAAACCTCAGACAGACAACGAACGGCGTGCAAGGCTCCAACCTCTCCCGTCATCAGCACCACCCGAAAACTCAGCACCTCATCGTGGAAGCCCAGTCACTGGTTACATAACTGACACGTTCTGTTCTACCACACCACAGCCCGAATATTCTCTTTCAGATCCAAGGGGAAGTACTACGTCGAGAGCTCATCAACCATGACCGAAGATAAGGAAAAGTCGTCTGTCGAAGGCCACCGCGTCTCTACCCATGAAGAGGGCGTCAACCTTCCCCCTGATCCGGATGCTCACCGGACCGATGAAGAGAAGGCAGAGATTGTATGTTCATGCTCCACTCACCTTGGTCAGGTTCAGCAATAACCACCCTCACATAATGCTAACAACCTTCACTCTAGGACCGCAAACTCGTTCGACGTCTCGATTTCATGCTCATCCCATGGGTAAGCGGAGCCGCTACATACTATTCACATCTTTTCACCGTTGAAGCAAATCTAATATGTCTCCTAGCTATGCCTACTCTATCTTCTCGCCTTCTTGGATCGCACAAACATCGGCAATGCTAAGATCGCCGGTGTTCAAAAGGATCTGGGCTTGACCGATGGCCAATACAGCGCTTCTCTCAGCATTTTCTTTGTTTCGTATGCCGTGTTTGAGCCGATTACGAATATTATGCTGAAGAAGTTCCGTCCTTCTGTCTTCATTCCCATTATCATGTTAGTTCCCACATTTTCTTTCTTTCTTTCTCTCGGGTGCTGTGCTCCGTGCAATATGCTGACCGACCAAAAATTGCAGGGTTCTTTGGGGTGCTAGCATGCTGGGCATGGGTTTCTGTTACAACTGGTCTGGTTTGATGGCAGCCAGATGGTTTCTCGGCCTCGCCGAGGCCGGTCTGTTCCCGGGCATCAACTACTACCTGTCGTGCTGGTACAAGCGGTCCGAGTTCGGCCTCCGCGCTGCCATCTTCTTCTCGGCCGCGGCGCTCTCGGGCTCCTTCGGCGGCTTGCTCGCCGCGGCCATCGAGAACATGGACGGCGTCGGCGGCCGGAAAGGCTGGGCCTGGATCTTCATCCTCGAAGGGCTCATCACCGTCATCTTCGGCTTCATCTCCTTCTGGATGGTGCACGACTTCCCCGACGAGGCCAAATTCCTGTCCGAAGACGACCGCGCCCGCGTCGTCCGCCGCCTCAAGCTCGACCAGCAGGCCTCGGCCGAGCACGAGACCTTCCAGATGACGTACCTTTACCAGTCCCTGCGCGACTGGAAGATGTGGCTGGGCATGGTCATCTACATGGGCTGCGACATGCCGCTGTACGCCTTCTCGCTGTTTCTCCCAGCCATCATTAAGGGTCTCGGCTGGAACACGTCGACGGTCCGGTCGCAGCTCATGTCGGTGCCGCCCTACGCCGTCGCCGCCGTTTTTACCGTGGTCATCGGCTACGTCGCCGACCGCACCCGCCAGCGCGGGCTCTGCAACATCGTCGTCTCCGTCATCGGCGTCGCCGGCTTCGCTATGCTTTTGGCCTCCGACTCCCCCGCCGTGCAGTACGCCGGCGTCTTCCTCGGTGCCTTGGGTATCTACCCCTGCATCTCCAACACGGTTACTTGGATGGCGAATAACATCGAGGGCGTGTACAAGCGCGGCGTCGTGCTGGGCTTCGTCATCGGCTGGGGTAACTTGTCCGGAGTCATCAGCAGCAATATCTACGCCAACCACAAGACGGGACACGGTATTGTTATGGGGTTCCTGGCCGTCTTTCTTTTTGGCGGGTCCATTCTTATGACGACGCTCCTGAGGGCGGAGAATGGAAAGAGGTTGAGGGGCGAGAGGGATCATCTTGTTGAGGGACTGGATGAGAAGCAGATTGATAAGTTGGGGGATATGAGGCCTGATTTTTATTATACTACTTGAGCAGGGCAGGGCAGTCAAGGAAGGGACGGGTTCATTGGCATCTGTGTCGTCGGGTGGTATGTATGGTAGGTTGTGTGTGCCTTGATTTGGGTGGTGTGGCGGAGGTGGTTACTTTTGGATATGGTCGGGCTGTACGGGAGGGCATCGATCAGACGTTCGTTCATTGATGGAAAGAGAGAGAAAAATGTCTACTTGATGTCATGATGGGGTCGGTTAGAGCCGCTTCCGCAAGGGTCAACACATGTATGGACAGTTACGAGGGTAGGCGGCACTATACTTTTCACTTCATTTTTGTCTTTTCCAATGGGTTGGTCTCTTGGTGTATCTAGACAGGGCACAAGTCGAAGTCGGATCATTATAATCGTTGGATATCATCATGTGTTCTCCATATCTCGAGGCTATTAGACCTTGGTTACTTGGCTATAAAGAGGCGGAGGCGGCGGTGGTGGTGGGGGTTGCAATAGCTGGAACCATGTAGTGCTTTATCGGATGGTAACGGTTGCATTTTACGGTTGCATTTTTTCTTTTCTTTTACTTCTGTAGGTTATCAAGTCAAGGTTGCAATCGGATGTTACCATGTTTGGATACGATACGGAGGGCTTGACATCATGATTTTGGACAGTTCGGAGTGCCGTGTATTTACTCTTCGATGGCATGATAAACCCAATGGAAATCAGCATGAAAGGGACGGATCCTGGCGAGACTTCTCACATGTGCAATTTCACCTGACTATAGACATTAAAGTATCGTCACTTGCTGGAAGTCCTCGTCCTACTATCTCCCAGGCCCTCCCCAGCGGCTGATATGAACTGTCATCTGTCAAGCCCTCTATCCGCGACTTGCATGAGAAACGGCATGGCAATGAAGGCAAGGTCAAGCCTGACACGCTTTGGTGATCCTGTTTAGTTCAGGTAATGTTACGCAGACATGAACTGGTAACGTTATTGAACTACCTTCCAGGTTTCTATGAAGGCTGTCTGGGTCTGGGGCTCTAGGTCTAGGGCTCCATGTCGATGGGTCAAGGTCCATGGCAGGTGTTAGGGGCAATGCCAATGAACGATGAATGACAATGTGTTCAATTGACACTTCCGGGTTGTTAACCGTTGAATCTTTTGTCTGTCTGTCGGTCATCACCGGAGCAAGGCACTGCCGGTTTGCCCGTCTGCTCCCTGCAATGCTAGATAAAGACGCGAGGAGAAGCGGGTGGGTGGAGGTAGGAATGTTCTAGTTCATTGATTCCAATATTGGCGGCAATAACGTTACTGCCCGTACTTGCTATGCTAAACGGGAGGAAGCCGTTATCCTTAGCCGTCCCAAGAATCGAACGAACTGGTTTCCCGTTGGGTCATACACGGGCGGGCAACTACCAAAACCGAGCTATTGGAATTGGGCTTTGGCTCTGGGAGGGAAGAAAGCCGGGACCGAACTAAACAAGAAGCAATCGGCAGATAGACGGAACGGATGACACGTACGGGAAGGCGGGTGAGTTGGTGGTGACGGTGGTGTGATTAGCGGACTGAAGCAAAAGGATGGACGGATGGTATGAACGGGGATAAGATTGAGGGGATAGAAGGGACGGCGCGGAAAGAAGTGGGATGGTTTTTGTAATACAGTATCAAAACTGACTTGTCTTGCTACTTCTGGTTAGGAGGATTGAAGTTTGTCAGTTCGTCCCATGTCCCAAAATCGTCACGGTTGATCCTGGAACTTGGGAGAAGAGGAGAGGTGTTTGTGTCCCGTCTGCAACCGCGCAACGCACGGAGCGAGTGGTTTCTTCTGTTGCTTGTGCGACTTTCTGAAAGCCAGGACTTGCTTCAGTGTGCTTCAATTCTTTGAGAGAAGGGGAGTACGAACGGGCGATGACGATGAATGGAAGGTTGAGAGGTTTGTGCTTGCGAGACGACCTAGACGTCTCCCGGGTTTAAAGGTGTTATTCCCCTAGCTGCCACAGTGCGTTAGCGTTGGTACAGAATATGACCATACTCACACTCGGTATAGGGGCTATTTTTGTAAGAAAATCATCGTCTCACCGAGTCTGTTAGCAGTCCATTCTCCATTCGCGAGGGGAACTTACGCTACTGGGTGTGGAAAGGAAAAACCACCTTGATAGGCTCGATGGGTAAGAACCCCTCAACTCCATTAGTCGGGTGCATTCTGCATCTCGTACAGTGACCTTGTCGGATATCTCGGCTTCCTGGCTTCGGGGTCGGGGTACTGGGGACCGGCCAGGTGTGCTTCCGGTCAACGAACTACATCTTCCAATTCCCCCTCCTTGTCAGATAACAACGTACTAGGGGATAGACTTGGGGCTGCCTTTCGGACGATACACCATATCGTGGTGTTGGTGGTCTCTTGGCATGTGTTGCCCGACACTGCTCTGTGTAACACGGGCGCATCATTGTGTTGGGGCTCGCAAGCACTGTTGTGGCAAATGAAGTGGTGTTTGGATTCGTTGATCGCGATTCGTGGCCGCTTGTGAGAAGGTTATCGCTCTTGCTATTCCTTTGGTGGAAATGACGGGTTTCTGTGCTTGATACGTCTTGCCTAGCCCGAAACACATTCCTTCCTTTTGCACTTTCCTCGAATTCATTGTTCTTCTTTGGAAGGATCAACGGTGATGCCACAAATTTAGCATGTTTGATAGGATTTTCACCTGATTTCTGCCCACGTTTTGGTCACAACCTGCATGATGGTCTGCATGCACCTGCCTCGTAACCCCCTTTTTTTTTTCTCCGGCGGCTTGCTGATAGGATCTCAGGTCCGTGGATGAGAAGTCGGAAAGAATCAACAAAATATTTTGCGATTCCATGCAGCCATAGCCGCAACTGTTCAGCATATTATTGGGCTCAGTTTTGGATATGAGCATCCTGGCTGTATCTGAAGCGCCTCAGCCGCTGCAGGCTGTCCTTTTCGACATTTTTCACCGATCGATATGACTCCTGGCGACATGCATCCACGCACGAGCGGCGGAATTCGCCGACTGGAAGTGTTTTAACGACAGTTTATTCCTTCCCTCTTGAGCCTCCCACTTGCTCTTCCACCTTTCCACTCCTGCCGTGTGTCTTCTCTATTCGGTTCCTTCCTTGCACTGGTCCTATCATCGCGCTTGCCATTTCTCCTTGTCCCCTGGTGCCTGGTTCCTTGCATCTGACCTCCACACCCATATCCCCATTGGTTATGCTGCTGCAGGACAATTATTCTGAATGGAAGGAACGAGATCGGGTGGAGATGCGTGAAATTAAATGCAGTGGTGATCTCGGAGAAAGGTGTCATGTTCCATCCCTTGCTGCCGAAAGAGATGACGGTAGTTGGGGCAGGGTCATATTCGCTACTACCCGTACCAGTCTTTTTTCAACGACATGCATTCTCACCCGGCCTCGGCCCGCTCCTGGTCCTTGACACCGTTGATGCGGTCGCCGGGTACCTTACCGTGGGAGGCCTCGTCGGCAAGGATATCATTGTATTATTCTTAATATTGGGGACTGTATCTACGCTGAATCTTCTTAATCATACTCATATCTTCCATTTACACGAAGCGATGCTAATACACGCATCTGTCTGGGAAGGCTTGACTCTGCTTCATCAAGCATGCAATCTGCCTCGCCTCAGATTCACAGCTGCACCACTCAGCAGTCAAGGTAGGAAGGAGTAAGCATTCTCGGCATGCAAGTGACGATAAGGCAACCGCGACCGGTCTCCGGCTCAACTTGGGAACCCTGCTTTCACCGCCCAGTGCCTTCTGCCTCGTCCGGGACGCCTTCTACTGTGTTGGCTCCAGTAAAAGCCCCAACTTTCAACGAGATTGGGACTTCGCAAATCAGCCTTATACACACGTTCTTATATCACAAAAATGAGAGAGTGGAGACCTGTTGACGCCTGACCTTAACCTTAATTTAACATCTGCCAGATGTTGGATGTTTGAAACGGTTTAACGCTTGCTGCTGAATCTGTAACAGACTGGCAGCCTTGCACTTAGAAAGTTGAGATGATTCTGAGGAAGAGCTGACCTCCGACATCTGATAAAGACCCCGCTTCCAGACTGAACTTTCGAACTTCTTTCATTTCATTCGTCGCTGACATCCTCATCGTGACAGTTAAATCTTCAACCATCAGTTCACAGCAGGTAGGTCAACAGCTTTTACTCCCTCCTACAGAGAAGGTATCACGCTAACCTTCGCGACGAAAGACATAGCCTCCCAAGCCTTCATTCAAGCATTCAAAGACCTCGAAAAGGCATCCCAAGAACAAGACCAGACCTCGAAGATATTCGCAAAGTCGAAACCACCAAGACCAAACCCATCAGCGACGCGAGCAGCTGTCTCTGCCAAGATCAAGAATGCCTTTCTTCAAGTCAGACAACAAGGCGAAAAGCCACAAGGCCAAGGCCCCGGCCGCACCATTTGACCCCTACTACGGGTTCTCCGACGGGTTTTCTGGCTCCCATCAGAGCCGTAGGGGGAGCGACTCCTCCGGCTACCAGTACCAGTCCCCCGCGGAGGGCGGGCAGTATATCTGCGCCTGCAAGGCCTGTACTTGCGGCGAGAGTGTCCAGTACCCCGGCGACATGTGCCACGACTGCTCGAACAACAGGCATTGACGCGGCGATGACGGGCATCACAAAAAGAGGAGAGGAGAAGGTTATCTGCATTCACAAGGCCAACATCATGAAGCTCGCCGATGGTCTCTTCCGTGGCACCTTCAACCGCCTCGCCAAGAACTTCCCTCAGCTCGAGCGCAGGCGTTCTGGGAGGACTATCGAGTTCACGTATCGTTCTAGGTGTTAGGGATAGATGAAAACGGCATATACATGGTATAGATAGGAGTTATGGACAGGGAAAAAAGCATACTTCGATTCTCAGATGCCGTAGCATGGGCAGGCCCATATTCTCATTTTTTAACGGGACAATCCGTCAATGATTTATTGACTTTACCCCTGAGCCCGGTTCCACTTGCTTGGCACCATTTGAACCCGAGGGACACTCCCTCATATTCCTACATATGCAGGTCGGAAACGTTCCAAAAATGCTTGGTTCCGTGTCTTCTGGTATAGATCTTTGCATCGCCAAATCATTTCTCTTGCCTACTATTTTCGCGGTACGGTAATTAAGTCATCTTTTCGCCCCCGAGATGTCGGTCATCAAGCGGGCTGCACGGGTCGGCAACGGGAAGCACCGTTCTGCCCCCAGCTAGCTCCCACTCGCTAAATTTAGTGCAGATCACCCCAGAGTCCCAGGGGTATCGTGCTTCAGGCACAGCACAGTAAACGTTTGGAGCAGTCCGAGGTAGATGGAAACAAGATGTTTCGTTTCAAATCCGGATGTTTTCCAATTTGAGTTTGTTACTTCGTTTCAAGGGCGGAAATGACGTGTTTGCCCCGAGTGCTCTTCCCCTTGTAATCCCCAACCCGAACATGGATCGCTATTTCTTCAGCAGGTTCATGGCGATTGCAGTCACTGGCAGACAAACCCCCACGACGCTTCGCAAGCAAAACGTCAATGGCGTCTTGGCCGGGAGCTCCTGAAAGAAAAATGTTAGTGGTTCAGCGGATGGGCAGTGGCTTCTGATAACAGCGATGAGGCATCACGGGAAGCGCACGACGCTTTGCTCGTAGTGAGTGGTCCGTGCCAGAAACCTGACAACCTGAAGGGGGGTTTTACTTTTGCTCGCAACCACAGTACTTCTACGCTGATACAATCTCTCTCTTACGATCTCTTCTTACACTGGGCATTGCTACACTCCTCAACCGCATCTCTCTCCTGGTATCACAGTTCATCCTTTGACCTCGAAATAGAGTTGCCCGTAAAGCGCACTATCAGGCGCTAGCCTCCCCCACTATCCCAGCACTTCTCCAACCACTACGTCGACACCCACAGCGGGGGCTACCACCATGAAAGTGGCCGTTTTCAGCGCGAAGCCTTACGACAGGGAATATCTTTCCCAACTACTTGCTACCCGCTACGGCCAAGTGGAAGGCTCCCAAGCTCCTCGCATCGAGCTCGTTTTCCACGACTTCCCTCTCTCTGTTGAGACTGTCCCTCTTGCGGTCGGTGCCACTGCCGTCTGTGTCTTCGTCAATGACACGCTTAATGCGCCTGTCCTGCAGGCTCTCCGCCAAGAAGGCGTACGAGCCATCCTCCTCCGCTGCGCCGGCTACAACAATGTCGATCTCGAGGAAGCTGAGCGTCTACGCTTCTTCGTCGCCAACGTTCCCTCGTACTCACCCGAAGCCGTCGCCGAGTTTGCAATTGCCCTGATCCAGACTCTGAACCGCAAGACTCACCGAGCCTACAACCGCGTGCGCGAGGGCAACTTCAACATCGATGGCCTGCTCGGTCGGAACCTCCATGGCAAGACAGTCGGTATTATTGGCACTGGCAGGATCGGTATCAGCCTTGCTCGCATCCTCCAGGGCTTCGGCTGCAAGCAGATCGCCTACGACCCCTATCCTACCGATGCCTTCAAGCCGTACGGCGAGTACGCCAGTCTCGACGAGCTGCTGCCGCAATGCGACTTCGTGTCTCTCCACTGTCCTCTGACAGACCAGACGAAGCACATGATCAACGAGCAGACGCTCGCCAAGATGAAGAAGAACGCCATGCTCGTCAACACGTCGCGCGGTGGCTTGATCAAGACCAGGGCTGTCATTGACGCCCTCAAGAATCATCAACTGGGTGGGCTCGCGCTTGATGTCTACGAGGGAGAGAGCGCCGTGTTCTACCAGGATCACAGTGGTCAAATCATTCAGGACGATGACTTGACGCGGTTGACCACATTCCACAATGTGTTAATTTGCGGGCATCAAGCTTTCTTCACGGAGGAGGCCTTGACAGAGATTGCGGAGTCGACGTTGAGGAATTTGGAAGACTTTATCAGAAGAAGGCCATGCAAGAACTCGCTGGTTGCTGAGGGCCATTTGCTTGCTCGGAGGGACTCCGTTCCTGTTCGGATTTGATGGGTACAGTATGATGATGATGCCGCATAGGACCTGGGAGTTGAAAATGTATGGTAGACACTCTGACGTTGCATGGTTGCCTTCGATCGACATGCTGCTTTTCTTTACGTACGATACCTAGGAATAGCTAACATCCTCTCTTCCTTGACTCTCAGCTTCTGCTCCCAAATCCCAAGTGACTCTTTTTCTCAGCCTTGGTCAACATCTCTACAGCATGGAGACGAGGGCTGGGTGTACTAAAGAGAAAGGCCTATCCGGTTGCACGGCATCCATATTACCTGGACCAGGCTAACAAATTTGGCCTTACATTGGACAGAACAGCTGGTTTCCAGCTAATGCTAACATATCGAGTCGTTTCTTCATTTGCTGCGACGAGTCACAGCATTATGCCTCCTGTGGAGTTCCAAAAAGATTGTTACAACAATCAGATTCCTTCTTGTGTGCCCTGGCAACAGCAACGGGTACAGTGTATGCCTTATGCTTTACAAGGTAGCCCCCAAATTTTTGATATCATGCGGCTCTATTCCCGACCTCATTATCGTCAACTCTCGGCCCCGCCTCCATCGGGCATCACGACGTGGCAATGCGAGTAAACCATGAAGGCCTGCATATAACCGATTTGACTTGGGCTCTTTTAAGCTCAACGTCAGGAAGCAATGGGCACTTATAGAGGGCATACCGCTATTTCCATGGTCAATTTGATCCCGCTCGACATTATTCTCGGTTTGCAACCAGCGTACTGGCCCTTGAAACGGATCCCCGGACGTCATCTCATTGGGATAAGTCTCATATGCATCTTGATCCCCAACTTCGAGCCTTCTGATGCCTTTCTGGAAGTTACCATGGCCTCTTCAAGAGAAGAGCTCCTTTCCCAGCACTATCTACGGCAACTGAGCATCGATGACTATCAAAGGTCTTTGAGTCACCATCATCGGCGAGTTGAAGGCGAAGGCTCTTTCCACCATCATCCTTCGTTCCAGTCATATGAACCAAGGCACACAGAGGAACCACAGTCGTCACTCGATGAGCCAGTTCCACTCCAAAATGATCCACAACAACAATTGCCTACAAACACCAAATGACTGCAATCAAGCCCATCACCACTTTTTCTAGTCCGAAAAAACAACACGAAGCAAAAAAAAAAAAAAAAAAAAAAAAGAGAAGGGACGAACTGCGCAGAAGATCTGCACAGCCGCTGATAAAAAGCAGAGAAAAAACGGAAAAAGAATGCGTCACCTGTAGGATTCGAACCTACGCTCCCGAGGGAACTGCCTAAACTTGCTTTCTTGCGAATAGCAGGGCAGCGCGTTAACCACTCCGCCAAAGTGACTAGTGGTTGTTGTTGAAGTTACATGTCGGAGCTACCCCTCATATTTGGAGCTTGGACGGAGCTTGGGAGGAGCTTGTCAGCTTGAGTGGGGCTTAGGGTGGGGCAGTGATGTCAGAGACATGGTGTGGGGCTTTGCTGTCTTAGATCCTGGAATGACAGAGCAGGAAATTGTTCGTCAGCCACGGCGAGGGGAGCTGCTCTAGTCATTTTCGTGACTGCATGGCAGGTTCCCTTTCTTGTAGTCACGTATTTGAGGTATAGATGAAGTAGAGGGTACCGTAGGTAATGCTTACGTGACGAAAGGGAGGAGAGAACACATAGGAGGGCATATGTACACGGTGCGATCTTAAATGAAATTCCTGTTTAGAGACATGGCAACCGGTGAGCCTCCAACCTGTGCTTTACATGTTGTGTTTCCGGAGTAAGCAAGTGACAAGGAGAATTCCTAGCTCTGGACACCCAAAGAAATATAACAGTGAATAAATAGGAATGAAACAAACAGAAAATAGAAGGAAAAGGGAGGAAAAAGAAGAGGCGATAGAACGACCAAAAACATAGCAAAAAAAGAAAGAAAAGAAAAAGAAAAAAACCCCGAGAGGAAAACAGGAAGCAGAGAGCAGCCACGAAAGAAAAGCGCTAGTCAAATCCTTCTTCGACAGGTATAGTTCTATCCACCACCTTGATACTCAAGAGAACGCAGAGACTCTACCAGCGCACCCACCAGCACCAGCAGAAACCGTGGCGAGCAAGCAAGCTAGCAAACGCATGTATGGTCCTTTAACACCAGATCACAAAGAGGTACATGTATACACAAACACCCGTCGGTATCCTGCGCGATCTCCAGTTACATTGTGGTGTTCTGGTACCCTAGTGTTCTGGTGGGTGTCTGGTATTCCGCGGGGCAGTGTTTCATGACAGAATCCCTCGAAAGTGGCATGGAATAGCGAACTCAAAGAGGATCTGAGAAAGAAAGAAAGACGTCAGAGCATGTGGATGGAGCTGAAGAATGGTAGACAGGGGAATGGACGATCAAAAGTGAAGTTGGGATAGTCGAAGTTGTATGACCGTGAGTGTGAAGATGGAATGCGACCGTGGTGATATTACCAAGCTAGAGTAGGCTTTCCATGTACCCATCCGGCGGTGAGAGAGGGATAGAATTGCTTCCAGAAGGCTTCCATGAAGTTAAGAGGGCAGGAGATAGGGATAAGGGACCTGGAACTACTGCAGTTAGGGTATCCAGCAGCTAGGCCACCCGTGGATGGGTGAGGGGAAAGCTCCAGGCAGACGGGAAATAGCTGTTGACCTTCTCTATGAAGGCTACTCCTAGAGTTTGCATCGCACAACCTTGTTGCGCGGACGGATAGATGCAGGAGGGAAAACGGCCATTCTTTGACTGGAACTGCAGACTGGGGTCATGGGACTCATGCGGTGTGAAGCGGTCAATGACAGTTTGGCATATGACAGAGTATATCAGTCGTTTATTTGAGTGGAAGGTTTTATGATATCCGCTGTGGTGTGGGGTTGGAGTAAGACGTTCTTGAACATTGAGCCCTCGAATGGTTCATGCTGGGAGATTGAGTGAGGAGGGTTTATGGTTGCCCCTGGTGGTGTTTCCTTGGGCTATTGTCGTTGATCTGGAGAGGTGCTAGAAAGGCACAGCGCAAATGTAATAGATTTCCGTGGTAGAGTGCCAGTGTTGGCCATATGCTAAGAGGATATCTTCAAGTTCCCCAGGTTTCCCCTGATTTTTGTAGAAGTCCTCTGCTGCCAAAACATTCTTCAACCACTATAAATCTGAGACAGGCATGAAAGAAGCTGCGAGATACCGATTCTAACGTGTCGGAAAAGACCCGAACCCATCACTAACGCCCATCACCCTCCAATGGGCAAGGCCCTCCCCCAACTCCGTCTTTCCACGATTGCGTGCTCAGGACGGTACGACAGATTTCTCGTTAGTAGAGCGGTGCTATTGGCTACAGTATGGTTACCAGCAGTCTGCCACACAACGCCACTCATGCAGTTTGCCATGATGGTGGAATGTCAAAAGGCCTAAGCTTGCCCTAGGCGTTCCGTGAGGAAAAGATATCCCGAGAGATGGGAAGGGGAAATGGCGGGGCTTGATGCCTGGTGTTGAATCGAAGGCGGGATCCTCTACCGGTAGGCCGATTAGGGCGAACCCTTAGCTTTTGTTGTTCTGCCTTTTAAAGACCGTTTCACCGGAGGGTTGACCTTGTTGGTTTCTCCCTTTTGCTTCAAAGCCCCTAAAGACATCCGACACCGCACTGGATCAAGCTCAACAACACCCCTACTTCTGGGCCGTGGCAAAGGCACCCAAAAGCCTAAAAGAATGGCCTACACCATCCAGTATGATGACACCCTTCATGTCGCTTCTAGCGACTGGTATCTTGGGCATGAAACCTTGACTGTCGTCTACCCTCCCTACATCAATTATGATGAGGACGAGGGAAATGAGGAAGAATACCATGAATCCACGTCGGTCATCCTCGTTTACGACGACAACGAAGATGGGACCAGCACAACCAATGAAGCGAGCGTAGAGCTTGCTGGTTATCTCCGGGCCGGATGGGCAGATGGCATGAGCTCGGACTCCGACTCGGACAGCGAATATAGCGGATCGCGACGGGAGCATGTTTCCGACGTCACAACAATCAGCGTCTCGACTGGCGGCGACTTCCCTATTAACGACCTCTTGACGCAGCATAGCGAACTGACTATGGATGTCAGCTTCCCTTCGACAATGTCTGAGCGAGACTTCGGAAGCATGGTCGAACTAGCGGTTCTTCAGCCAATGGCGAATGTCATGTTGGTTCCTGCCTTGGACCTGACTGGCGCGACCGACATTCATGTGGACGACGAGCACCTGGGGTGTGCCCATGCAATAAGCGGAGAGGCCTGCCATTGTCTGACGGCTCGGAATCTTAGTGCCGTCCAAGATATCCTGAAGGAGGTGCGACGGGCCGAAGGTCGAGAGCTGAGAAGACACGAGGCGGCTGAGTGGCAACATCCGCGAAGCGAGCCGGATAGACGAAGCGACCAGGCGTGGGAAGAGTTGACAGTGGATCTCCTTTTCTAGTCGGACACTTTAATCGATGGGCTTGTATTAGTAGCTAGAGGTATCAGATACTGGGCGGTAAGTTTGTAAGGGCGGCTTCGTTTTTCGTCACGGCAGAATGCGATACCCGAGATAGGGGCGGCTTGGCGTGGATGACCTGGAACTTTGCAGAGTCAAACAGTATAAGAGAGCTGCTCATTCGCTGGACGATTGATGAAGATAGGGGAAGGACGAAGCAGGATGAAGACGCTTGTTTTTGCTCGATATCCATCTAGGTATGTGATTAGCTTTCGGTTGACACTGATAATTCGCCAAACACGAGAACTTACATGCAATTAATGATAACTGGCCCTCCTCTTTCTCACAGTTCTCTAGGCCTCCTATAGCCGATCGTCGGACTTCTTCCAGCCCACTGTGGACGTGACTCCTCCCACAGCTCCTAGGATGTTGTCCACAACGGACTTAATCAGGCCCTGTCCTCGTCTTGCCCTTGTACCATCGCTACCAACGCCGCCAGCGCCACCGCTCGAAGAGGCCTCGTTACCCATCGTGGGCAGGACATTGTCACTTGCAGACAAGCTGACAAAGAGAGCGAAGGGAACCAGCCATACGCAGATGCCGAAGTAGGACGCGATTTCGGTAAAGGTTGGAACATTCGATGGCATGTCGTAGTACGAAGTCATGTTTTGGTAGGCACGCTCTTGGTGACCCGAGAAGTGCTTAAACCACAGGTAATGGTTGACAAGAACGAGGCCTGGTAGGAACAGCCACTGTTAGCATAGGCACATGGGACGGAGAGTCGATGGAAAGGGGCTTGTTTGCCCAAGCTTACCACATGACAACAGGAACAGCGGGTCTGTCAATTTGACGTAGGGGAACCTCCGCATATTACCCAAGTAGACGACATGGGAGCCAACACTGAGCAGTGTCAGGAAGAAGGGGAATCGGTCGACGAGGCATAGTAGAAGCTGGATGACGATGATGGTGTAGAGGAGTTTCGTAAGGAAGCGCTTAGCAACTACAGTATGTTCTTCGACGACTTCGGACAGATAGTATAGACCCGAGGCTGTAAGGCAATGGGTGCTTCGTTAGTAAATGCATGCCGGTCTCCCGCAGCAGCTTCAAGGAGCAGAACGTACCAATAGCTAAGGTCAGGAAACAGAAGCCCACGATGGAGCCGAGATAGCCAACAAGAGGCAGAATCCACATCTTGACAATGTTTTTGGTTGGAATTAGACGGGCATAATATGGGAATTGGCTGGTGGTGTGGAGGTCAAGTCGAATGGCAATCGGTTATATGGAGATGTTGTTCTGGACAAAGCTCAAGGCTGCGGTGGTGAACCTGGAGAGAACCCCTTCTATGGAGCTCCTGTCCCGGTCCCTATTTCCAAGGACCGTCACTGCTCTACCCCTGACGTGTTCAATTAAACAGACCGCGTTTAAAGTGGGGCCGCAGTTGACAGACACGGCAATGTCATCATGGGCTGGAATTGGCGGCCGTTAAGGTACCTCTATGATAAGACAAGACTATCGATAAGCCGCCGCCAATCCCACCAGCGATCGCCCTTGGCAAAACCCCAGAACAACCCCACATCCGAAAGGGCCCATCGAAACTTTTTTGTGTCCCACTACACCGCTCGCCAGCAGCAGCACCCGCATCGGCACCAGCACGAGCAGGACCAGGCTGAACAGCAGCACCATCCATCAGCTGTCGGCGCATTTCCACCTCTGCTTGTCATATTCCTGGATATAGATCACTTCTCTCTTCTATCCAGTCGCCAATTGCCTTGTTCCATCGTTGTTTAGTCTCAATCCATCTAGCCCAACATGTCTCGCCCCGAAGATACCCTGTAGGTTCACGACTCTGCGACAGCCTCGCGACAAGCACTCCTCCTCGTTCCCCAAAGCTAACAACACCAGCGCGGCCGATATCCACTATGACGACACCGAAGCTCGCAAGTACACCAGCAGCTCGCGTGTCCAGAATATCCAGGCCTCCATGACCCGTCGTGCCCTCGAGCTCCTCGACCTCAAGTCCCCCAGTTTCATCCTCGACATCGGTTGCGGCAGTGGTCTCTCCGGCGAGATCCTCTCGGACGTCCCCGAAGATGAGGGCGGCCCCCACGTCTGGGTAGGCATGGACATCAGCCCGTCCATGTTGGACACGGCCCTACAGCGCGACGTCGAGGGCGATCTCTTCCTCGCAGATATCGGCCAGGGCGTGCCATTCCGCGCCGGTTCCTTCGACGCCGCCATCAGCATCAGTGCCATCCAGTGGCTATGCAACGCCGAAACCAGCGACACCACCCCCTCCACCAGACTTTCGCGCTTCTTCAACGGCCTCTACGCCTCGCTAAAACGTGGCGGCAGAGCCGTCTGCCAGTTCTACCCCAAGAACGACGTACAAAAGCAAATGATCACCGCTGCCGCCGTCAAGGCTGGCTTCGGCGCCGGTCTGCTCGAGGACGACCCCAACACCAAGAACGTCAAGCTTTACCTGGTCCTCACGGTCGGCAAGGACGCTACCAATGGCAAGGATATCAGTGCCGTCGTTGAGAACATGGATGGTGTTGACGTCCTTGACCAGAGAAAGAAGGGTAAGGGCGGCAAGGGCGACATCAAGAAGGGCAGCAAGGGCTGGATCATCAAGAAGAAGGAACAGATGGAGCGCAAGGGCAAGATTGTCAAGGCCACCTCCAAGTACACTGGTCGCAAGCGTCGCATCCAGTTCTGAGCGTCACAGTGGTGGTGGTCTTGTCTGTTATATCTTGTTCATTTTTGCATTGGGAAGGCGTTTGGGTGGCTACGGCGATGAAAAAATACGTTTCTTTTTTTTTCTTCTGGATTTTGCCATTTTTTACGGCTGAAATAACGATACCCGGTTTCTTGATCCCATCACACAGGACACATTCTTGCACCTTTCTTCGTTCTCATGCTGGATCCCTGTTTAGATTTGATCCTCCGGGCCGTGACCGCACGGCTTCCCTTCGGTGATCTCAGGATAGACCGTATACTGACGAGAGTAGTGCGGCAACCCTTCCTCATCGATAGTCACCTCCGTCGAAGCCACACTAACCTTGAGATCCGGAACCTCTTCAAGATTGTACTCCTCGCCGTTGAAGAGGGCCACCTTCCACTTCAAGTTGGCGCGAAGATGCGGGATGACATCCTCAGGCTTGAGGCTCTGGAGCTCGCCGCCCACGATATCCTGCAGCAAGGCGGATGTCAAGGGGACGGTACCTGAAACGATCAGGCCATTGGCGTTGTCCTTGCGGCACTTGCCGCACTGGGTTTCGGCGCTCCGTCCCAACACGGACACACGACCGACGCAGTTGAACTCGTGGTCCCAGGTCTCTGGGTCGGGGTTGAACTCGCCAAGGAAGACGATGACACGGAAGGATTGCCCGAGACCGTGCTTCTGGGCACGGACGTTGACGATCCAGTCGGTGTACTTGCCGTCTGGGGCGAGGTACTTGAGCTTCTCTGGAATCGGGCCTGTTGAAGTGGTCAGCTCAGAATCCCTTTTTCTGCCTGAACGGGTTATCATACCTTCGGGCGTGCTTGGCTCGGCCTTTGTCTCCTCAACAGGCACCACCGGCTTCTGCACCTTCTCCTCAGCCTGCTGGAACACATCATGGACTTTAGCAGCGACCTTCTTAGCTCCGGAAAGCTCAACTGCATGAGCAGCAGCCGCCGAGACAGCGCTCTTGCTCTCCTCACCAGTTGCCTGCAGCTTCATCAACGCCGGCGTCCGGTCGGCAACATTATCAACAAAGTTAGCAAACACATTGCTACCATACAACGCCGTGACAGACTTCTTGATGGCCGTCTGGTACTCTTGAACAGACGAGTACTTCCACTTCTGCGTCTCTGGATAAGCGTATCCAAAGGTGGTGCTGTCCTTGACCTGCTCAGAAGTCCAGAAGTTGGCAGTAGATCTGTCCCAGAAGGGCTCCAGAGGCGTGTCCTTGCTCTGGCTTTCGCCCTCTTGAGCGACGAAGGTCGAGTAAGGGGCTGGGCGAGGGCTCATGAAGCTGTTGGGGTTGAGGTCTTGCCAGATGGACCAGAGGCGGTCGACGTTACTTGAAAGTAAGGTATATTGTCAGCAACGAGACGAGATGAGGCCTGTCATGTCATGTGTGATCGGAAAATAGAAAAGAAAAAGGGGGACCACATACATATGATGCAACCAAAACAGCGGATCAAAAGCCGACACCTCCAGGCTCGACATATGTCCATTCCCGCCCGTCCGATCATGAATCTCATTATGCACATCCTCCAAACTCCCGAAATCGCCCGGATTGGTGTTCGGATCCCACCTGTTATAGCTGAACGCATCAAAGTCCTTGTAGCTCAACAACAACAAACTAACATTATTCCTCAACGACGCCAGCTCGTTCGCCAAGATGGGCGCAATCCGCTCATCCCGCGACGCCCCCGTCTGCCGATTCGGGTACCTGACCGTGCTCGGGTATCGGCTCCACGCCGCGCTGAAGTCGCCCGGGCTAGGGTTGACAGGGTGGAAAGTAAACCGGTTCAGCGGGTTATTGATCGCCTTGGTCTTCCCATCGACATCAACCACCTGTATGGTGCGCGCTGAGAGGGACTCCGGAAACGCCAGCGTCCCTTTCGGAGGCTGACTGGCCCAGTCAAAGTACGGCGCCCGAAACTCCTTGGCGGCTGCGACGTACTTGGCTCTCAGCCCCCCTTCGACGGGAAATTTGTTGGCGACGGCCTGCACGGAGGCGTAGAGGGCTTGCTCGTACAGAGCAAGGTAGGGACGGTGCCAGGTGATGAACAAGATAGACGAGTGCGTGCAGTAGCCGCCGAAGCCGCTGCTGCCGGGTTTGGACCAGTCCGTGTCGGAAGGGACGCCGCCCCAGGGTTTGAAGGGCATGCCGTGGATGCCGGCGACTTGGTAGTAGGAGGCTAGCTTGGCTTCGTCCAGGCCTTGGAAGTCGCGGAGGCCGAGGAGGTAGAGGTTGAATTGCTCGGGGTAGTTGACTTGGAGGTCGCGGAGCTCGCGGCGGAGGGGGGCGGCTCCTGTGGGTTTTGTGTGTTAGTATAGGCTATCATGGTGGTGGGATGTATGAAAAGGGGGGAAGGGAAGCTTACCATTGCTGGAGGGAGTGGTGGGAACACCCGTGATGGCGAACTTGATGTCGTTGCTCATGATTACTGTTCGCTGTCTTGGTGTTCTTGGTTCGTTGTTGTTGTGTATAGTTTCAGCTTGCTAAGTGGTCTATTGAAAAGTAAGACTGCTGATTGTCGTATATACCATAAAAAAGCTTCTCCCGTCTCAAGAGCAACCATCGACACTGGAAAACCCACAGTATAAATACTCCCCAAACATCCAAGGCAGACAGACCTCTTTCCGAACTCAGACGTCGTCATCTCCCCCCCGAGTCATCCCAGCCTACCTACCCAGATCCATGATCCTTCCACTCGGCTATACCGCCGCCATGCGTCCCGTCAACAAGACAAGTGACGAGTCAATCAATATCAGCCGATTACCTCCCTCTTCAGCCTCGTTGGGAAACATGTTTCTTTTTCCCCACTACCAGTTTTCCCATTCGGGTCTCTTGTTTCGAATTTATCACCCGGAGCCTGGTTGGTGGTGGCGTCCATCCACAAGTTGTTAGTCGGAGTCGGTGTGTCGGTGTGGCGTGTCTGTCGTCAGCAATAGGACCGACGTTCGGTTCACAAGAGGCTCAGCTCTTGCCGACCGAATCCTGCAGTCATCTTCACAGCTCTTCACAGCTCCTTAAAGCAAGCTCCTCACAGCTACCGGCTCCTACAGCTCTCTCTCTTCAAGCGCCATGTATGTCTTTGCTTCTCCGCATTTTACCTACTTTTATGGGTGGTTTGTCCTACCGACCCGGATTACTGTTTTGGTGTTTATCTGCGAAAGCGAATGAGGTGTCTTCAGCCAAAGAATTTTTAAACCGGTCAGAGCCATGTCCTCTAAAGGCCATCGAGCTTACTACGCAGTATTCAACGAATCCTCCTTGAAGATCCCGGTATGTCTTCGGGGCTATCTTTCATTTCATCAACTGAGAAGCTGTGTAGCTCCTTTCTGCCTCTAGGACCTAGGTAGTGGTGCAACTCAGCTCGACGACGCCATCCCCACGCAGCCAGCCAACAGCGGCACAGCCCTCGACAACCAAAACATCAAGCTTCATGCGGGAGGTTAGGTCAGGGTCTAGGTAGTCCTAGGCAGGGTTTCAAACTTTCGGAACGCCATCTTCTTCAGCCCTACACTTGCAGATTTGTACATGAGGGACTGGGCTGACCCTACCTGCCTGCTTACATGGGCCACTTCATGTCTCCCTTCCCGTGAGTGGTTGACGTCCGCACACTACGCACATCTCCGCCCTGCGCCTTGCTGCGACCCTGCCTGCGCCGCTGCACGCGCGGCATGCTATGCTATGCGGTATGCAACCCAATTCCCTTTCATCCTGCATTACATCCAATCCAGTCCAATCTAGTCCTTGTCCCCTTTGGGCTCTTCTCCGGTCCGGGAGACGACTGAAAATGGACAGGATGGATGGGATGATGATGTAGTTGGTTTCAGACATCTCGACCGGACCCAGGGAACTAAGTGAACGGAGGTCGACCAACGAGCCGCTCTATCCATTTATCCACGTAATCATCAATGGTATCTCGGGGCACAGCCGTCGGATTATACGGCCGCATTTTCGGTGTGCTTTCCTGCCTGCCCCCCTCTTCTTCATCTAAATTGTGTTGTTGGTCTGTCGATGTTGTTGCCTAGTGTTGATGTCTTCATCATCTGTTGTTGTTGTTGTCATCCAAAGTCTAGACAAGTCGTCCGATCCGCAGGGCTGCTTCAGCTTCGGGAGACGGGAGCCGGGAGCCCTATTTCTCTTGGCACTAGCTGCATGCCGGCCGCGGTGGACACCGGGCGCTAAAAAGGACCTGACTAGCGGTATGTAGCGTACTCGACGGGGGTTAAGTGACAACATGTTTCCACCAGCGAACCTCGGTAGAGGACCACCACTAAGCCTAACTCCGTACAGGCGATGGAGATACGGAAGAGCTAAAGCGGACCGCTCGGTAGAACTTGATGGGAAAACTGTGAACACGATTCAATGTCGACCTAGGGACCATGGACGAAGCCCCCTTTAAGATCAAAAACTCCTATATTCTGTGTAAATGCTTCGGATTGCTCGGAAATTGCACGATTTGCCCCCCTCCCAAAGATCGCCGATAGATAGCAGACAAATGAAATGGAATTCGGATAGCCAACTCTACGTACAATACAAGGGATGATAGGTGGTGGTGTATGCTCCCTTCTCCCCCAATCTACTCGTCCAGGTCATGAACGAATAATCACCTCCGTCGTGGTATCTCCAACCAGCCGGCGGCGGCTGGGCCGTTATACAGTGTAAATTAAAGGCGAAAGATGGAAATGAGCGCAGATGCAGTCGGATTAAACGCATGGTCTTTTTCTATTCAGGCCAAGGCTTGTCCTACGTTGCGGGGTATCTTTAGAGAGAGTTCTCCATGGAGTCGAGGATGGCGCGAGTGAACTCGTGGGTGGAGGCCTCGCCGCCCATATCGCGGGTGCGGATCTTGCTGTGAGGGGGTTAGCACGTGTTTTCTTCAAAGGAACAGTAGTAGAACTTACCCCTGGGCAATGACGTCGTAGACGGCGTTGGAGATGCGGTTGGCGTGGTCATCAAGGCCGAGGTGGCGGAGGAGCATGGAACCGCTGAGGAGAAGAGCGGTAGGGTTGGCCTGATCCTTGCCCTGGATATCGAGACCGACGTGACGGCAGCCGGGCTCGAAGACGGCGACGTCACGGCCCATGTTGCAGCCGGGAACGACACCGGGGCCACCAACGAGGGCAGCGGCGATGTTGGAGAGAATGCCACCGTAAAGGTTGGGCATGACCATGACGTCGAACTGCTGGGGCTTGCTGACGCACTGCATGGAGGCGTTATCGACGATCATGTCGTTGCACTCGAGCTGGGGGAAGTCCTTGGCGAGGCGGTTGAAGGTGCCACGGAAGAGACCATCGGCGAGCTTCATGATGTTGGCCTTGTGAATGCAGGTAACCTTCTTGCGCTGGTTGGCAAGGGCGAACTGGAAGGCGAACTTGGTGATGCGCTCGGACTTGGCGCGGGTGATGATCTTGAGGGACTCGACGACGCCATCGACGGACTGGTGCTCGAGGCCGGAGTACTCACCCTCGGTGTTCTCACGGATGATGCAGAGATCGACGTCCTTGTGGCGGGTCTGGAGGCCGGGGATGTTCTTGACAAGCGAGATGGAGGCGTAGATGTCGAGCTCCTGGCGCATGGCGACGTTGAAGCTCTGGTGGCCGGAGCGGCTGATGGGGGTGTGGAGGATACCCTTGAGACCGAGCTTGTTCCTCCTCAGAGAGGCAACAGCCTGCTGGAAAGCCTCCTCGGTGCGGCTGGCGTTGTCCTGGACACCGGAAACCTCAATCTGCTCCCAGGTAATGGGGACATTGTCGGCCTTGAAGACGGTCTTGACGGACTCAGCAACCTCGGCACCGATACCGTCACCAGGGATGAGGGTGACGGTGTACTTGCCGCCGTACTTGGTGGGCTTGAAGATATCGGACTGGAGGGTCTGCGCAGGAGTGTCCTGGACGCTGGCGAAGCCGCGGGCGAGGCGGGGGGTGGGCTGGGCAACGGCCCGAGCAAGGCGCTGTATGGGAGACACATGTTAGTCGCGTGCGTCCACCATGTAGGTATCGTGAGCATGTGCTGGCATGGCAGGTAGCAGGTAGCGGCACGGCGCAAGTCTGACAAGCGGGCGTCATGTACGCGAATGGTTGTTGATTTTTCTCGTGCTTGGAGCGGGGATGACGTCGGGTGGCAGATTTTGCAGCAGCAGAAGCACAGGAGCCAGGACAGCAGCAGCATGAGCAAACATACCATGGAGTTTCTGGAGAGCATTTTGAAGGACTGGTAGGCCAATGACCAAGGACAAGAGCGGAGAGGGATTGAAGGAGCGGCGGCCGAGGGGTGAGGGAGGAAAATATTCGAACTGGAGAAAAGGGAGTTTGAGGTCCGAGGTCAAGGAGGGTGAATTGGCAGATTTGACAGATTTGGCTCCCAGGGCAGGCAGGGCAAATGCCTCACAAAAAACATGCAGCCCGCCAATGGCCCCCTCCAATCGTCTTACAGGCTGTACAGGATACGCCTGCCCTGCCTTGGTGGGGAACAAGATTCGGAGAAACCAAGAACGAATTCGACGCGCTTGGCTTGGATAAGGCTAGCGTCACAGGGCGTGTGGGTGCACGGATCAAGCGGCCCCACCGTGACGTCCTCTGTGCTACTTCTCGCCTTCTGCACACCTTCCACGCGCCCGCTGTCAGTGTGTTCTAGCGCTCCATCTCGCTGTCGTCTCGACATCTGACAGCTCTGCCGTGTCAGGTAAGGTAGCTCGGCACAGCTCCTACCGACCGGCACGGAGCGGCCCCGGGCTCATAGAGGCTACGGAACGGACGCGGAGGACATGCGATCGTACATCAACTAGGTACGTACCCGGCACCGCTTGAGATATCTGAATTATACCATTTGGTACTTAGTTGACAGTTGCTAGTGTGGCTGCCAAGAGATAGGAACCGCCTTCATTCGTCTGAAGCATCCACTGAAGCTGCCCGCTGTCGTGTTCTCGGCCTCAAAAATTTAGGGAACCGTCGCCTTGGCCGAATCCCGTCGGCGCTATCGCTTCTCCGACGTCACCTCCCTCACAGTCACGTCAACGACTCGGACACATGCACTCTCATCAAACAACAACATGGGTTAGTACTCGCGTCGGTATCGCGTCTACATATAATCGCAACTTCCGCACAAACCGAATTAAATGAACCTCTCCTTCTATCCATGCCTTTCCGTCACTAGAAATAGATTCCATGTCCATTGATCGACCATGACAGGGTCCACCACTCCGAGTCGCGATCCGCAATGAGGCTCTCAAGGAACCCAGGGTCCTGTCTCAGGGGCTTTGTTTTGTTAATCGCCAGCGACAACACCACGGTTACCTTCGACCCGCCTTACCGACCTCCTGTCCGATAAACACGATTGACAATGCGGATGCTCATGAGGACCATCACCCGGCGGTCACCTCACTCATACACAAACGGCGCATCTCTCCTCAACCTATACTCCCCGCTTCCCTGCCACACGACCTCATAGCCCAGCGTTCCTTCCACTATCGCCAACACCACCGGCACCGTCACTGACTGCCGCCTCTTTGCTCCCGCTCCTTGGACCATTTTCCTGACCATCAGCGTACTCACCGCCCCATTCACCACGCGATCAATGGTCACATGCGGCGGTTTATCCTCGCTCTCCATGACAACGTCTGGGGTCCATTTGCTGATGTACTGGTCAATGAGCTTGAGCGAAGCGCCATGACTCCCAAGGATGCTGATCCAACCAGGATTTGAGTTTGAGCTGTCCTGGATGGTGATATGGTAGGGCGGTTTCGAGCAGATTTCGGCGAGCGACGGAAGGGAGGCGACGGTTGGGAAGGTGGTTGGCTTTGGCTGGGTAGAGGACGCGGATGAGGTCGTGGTCGTCTTCGAGTTCGCGGTAGTCGGCTTTGTCTTACAAGCAGCGGCCGAAGCAGCTTCAGCCGCACCCGTCTCATCCCTCACACTAAGCTGCTCCAACCCCGACTCCAACTCCGTCGCCGTTCCCGCTCCCTTCCCCGGCTCGGGTTTCGAGTCCTCCTTTCCCTTTTCCGTCGCCTGGAAACACGACAACAAACTCTTCTTGAACTCCTCGGAAAGCACGTCCTCTCCCTTATTCCAGGCCCTTCTCACGAACAAGAAATGCTTCGGCAAGTGCACGAAGAAACCACCCCTCTCTTCGGACCAGCTGGTACCCAATTTAACATCCTCCCACACGTCCAGCATGACCCTCAGCTTCCCCCCGGCTTCGACCAGGCGGGTGAGAAGCTTGATCAACCAGTCATCCATTTCCGCGCGATCAAGAATCAAGCGCAGCTCCATACACCATTTACCCAGGATGTAGGTGGCCGATCTGACGATTGTGGGGCCGTTTTGCTCGCCGTATTCGTCCAGTAAACGCTGCCAGTCGGCTTCGACGATGACTTCGTGCCCGAGTTCTCGACTGAGTTCGGCCCGTTCGTCTTGCAGGTACGAGGAGTCGGAGAGGAACTGGTCGGTGATCTGTTCGGAGATGGAAGGCGGGTAGTATGGAGGTCTTTTTGCAGGTAGGTCAGCCGAAAGTTCGAGTATGTTTTCCTGATTGATTGATGCCCTGATTTTCCCCGTTTGTTTCTACTTACGGATCTGCGGTCGACTTGAGGTTCGTCATGTTGTCTGCGTCTTTCTGTTCTTCCCTGTAGGAAGTAAGAGGTTCAAAGGAGGAGTTCTTTCCAAGGAAGCGAGATGGGTTTGATTCTCTGAGAAGGGAGCCAGGCAAAACCACGAAAGTGCAAAGAAGAACGGAACAACGGTCGGATGAGGGGTCTGAAGGGAATGGTTCAATTTAACCTAATCCGAGGCGAAGCCGTGAAGGCAACCAACAAACACTGCCACACTGCAATGCAATATGCAGTTCCGCCCAACAGTCAACCCCGCTTTTTACCTCTGCTGGCCGTTTGCCCATCTCCCAGGCATGATTGGCTGTCAACAATGCTCTGTCGACACCTTTGACAATTGTCTGGCATTGATCGGAGGCTGCTGTTGACATCCATTGGCAAAAAAAAAAAAAAAACGTTTATAACGCAGGAATACCGAACGTGAACGACTCCATCACGATCATCTCATTCACTTTGCTTTAGGTTCAAAGTGGGCTTTTTCCAACCACGGCGGAGAGACGAGCATTGAAATCCATGGCCGAGTCAGGTTTCCATATCACCATTACTACTATCATTAAGCTCGCAGAAAATATCTCCAGATTTTGACCACTAAACGTCTATCAACCTTCCATCACATCGAACAGATTCACCATCAGCTACCCGTCACCACCCCAGCAGTCTGCGACTGCCCGTTCCCGTTCCCGCGTCCGCCCCCGTCATTAACGCCGTTGCCGTTATCGTCATCTCCGCATCGGGGCGTCCTTTCCTCGTTGTGTCCTGTTTTGTTGTCTTCCCTAGCCTCTTACGCAAACACCTGAAGCTCAGACGGCGCAAACGAAAACTCGGGGAGAGTGCAAGCCTCGGCATTCCAGTAGTAGGTATCGCCATTCTTCCACTCGGCGGGGGGCGTCTGGTGCTCCTCGAAGGTGCAGTTGGGGGTCTGCTCGGCAGAAGTGCCGTTGGCGGAGAAGATGGCCCTGAGGATTGGGGTTGTTGATGTTAGCTGACGTTCTACTGGTCTCGCCCTGAAATCTGGAAGCAAAGAGAGAGGGAGATGCTCAAAGGGTAAAAAAAGAGGAAAACTCACATATCCCCCGGCCCCTCCAAATCATCACACTCCCAAGTCTGCCTCACCTCCACACTCTGACTACTACCATACCAATACCGAAACTGCGTCTTGAACCGCTGTCCTCCCCCAACCGACACCCCACTCCCACCATCACTCCCATCATCAGTGGCACTTGAATTCACAACCGTGCTACAATTATAAACCCTCTGCCCATAAAACGGAACCGAAAAATCACTGCTATAAGCATCGCAGTACACGTTCAACTCCGGCAGCGCGTTGCTAGTCAAATTAAACCGGACCGTGGCGCCGTTGATGCGGTGCGAGGGCGTGGTGTATATCAAATCGGAGGAGTAGTGGAAGTCGGACACGGTCCATTGGAAACCGTGCAGGGAGGTGTTGGTGCAGCCGGCGGGGAGGTTGTCGTCGGTGAGGAAGGAGGCGGTGGTGGCGTGGTTTGAGTTGGGGGACTGCTGGAAGGACACGATGGGAGCTGCCGCTGGCGCTGCTGCGGCTGAACCGAGGAGAAGGAGGAGACCGCTGAGGAGGAGGGAGCGGCTGTTGGTTGATGAGGCCGTCATTTTGGGTGGGTTGTTGGGTTATTGGGTTTGATGGAAGGTGAGGTGATGTTGAAATTGGTAAGGAAGACTGGAGAGTATACTAGTAGGTCGAGGTAAGTAGGTAGGTGTTGCTCTGTGCTTGTAGAACTCGAACTCTTCTGGATTCCGTAAAGATGGGAGGAGCGAAGGCAGTTATATACCCATCAACCCATCATCTGTCTCTTGAGTTGGTTCGTATCCCACCACAATTCTATTCCAGTCCACACTCCTGGAATTCGGATTGATTGCTTGGTACCGCTGCTATCGTATTATCTGTTCCCCATTCCCCACAAGTGTCAGCTCGATCCCAAAGTGCAAGATGGAAGACTGCACATGTGCCGTCAACGGGGTGGTATCATAAGTGGGCCGATATAGAAAGGCAAGTACGATACGATCGTATCGTGCTGCGGAAAGAAAGCTCAGGAAGGCACTGCTGACTGCAGTGAGATTGTGGCAGGGACAACCAACACCAACACCAACAACCGCAACCAAGGTGAACCGTACATACCTACCGTATGAACTAACAAATCTCGTATCCCGTAGCCAACAGAAAACTCTGGATGGTGTCGTGATGTTAACGTTCAATATATTGGTGGAGGTCACGTTTCGCTTTTATACGACGGGGCGTGGTTGATGGATGGTTTGGTATGGGATGTGGAGGAAGAGGCTCGAGTAACGTTAACATCCGGGAAATGTTATTCAAATGGCAAACTCATCATGCCATTCTCCTTCACCTTTGATGACAGGCGCGCCTTCCTTTTGACAATGAACTGTTCTTCACCCAGAACTGGATCCGTATCCGACTTTTCCACCTTGGTGCTTCTATCATCATCATCAAGTCACACAATCCGTGACATTCACTACCAACTCACGAGTCACAGTGTAAGGGTACCTACGTTTGTGACAGCTGATGCGACCCTTCAATGGAGAATCATGTGTAACCAACACGTCAAAAAAAAGAAAAATTCCCGGTGGCATTAAATCAGTGGACCAAAAATGCCATTTTACCCCTTGCACCACGGCTTCATCATTTTTGATCGGCCGGTGACATGTGACCATTGTTCATCTTGCTACCAGTTCAACAGTTCTAAGTAACACGATAAACTAGAACTACTGGATAGCCGCGGCGGGTAGTGGTAAAGTATTTGAGTGATCCTCTTTTCTTTGGGACACAAAGATAGGTAGCGAATGAGAGGCTGTTTTGCGTGTATCTTGCTAGGGTACGTTGGTGCTCTATTTGAGTGGCCTTTGAGGTCTTTCGTTTGGGGCACGCAAAGATGGCGAACTATCGTCTCTTCCACGGATATTTTGCTATCTACTACGCATCAATCAAATTACAACTGTTCAACACCCGACCATCGTTCGTGACCAGGCATTCGTTTAGGCAACGAGTACTAATCTGTTCATTGACAAGAGTGGACGTAGAACCTCCAAACAGTCCATGTGATCACCAGGAAAGAAAAACGCTACATATAGATCCGGTCCCGAAAGATAAGACAAGAGTACGCAACAGTGTATAACAAGTCTGAGACCTGACAAACCCATCCATGTGTTGAGTGTCTTACGAGACTTGAGCCCGATATAGACTTCGTACTAGGAGAAGAAGAGCCCTGAAGATCATGATGTCTGCCATCCATAGCGCGCCAAGGGGGTCCGAGAAAACCAGCCCCAGGATGGTCCAGTAAGTGTAAGTGAACTTTTCCTTTACATTTTGGCCTGAAACTGATCCATGGATCAGTTCGAAACTGCAAGAGCATCTTCATTACCATTTCTCAAACCAAAATATCCTGCTCGGTCAAAAGAGACTGGAATGAGAATAACCTCGAGGATAATCCCTTGAGCGAAAAATTTCAATAAGGCATGGATTTAAAGAGCAAGGCCGTTATCAAGGTCATTTTTCGAAGCAACTCATACTTAATCCACTACATTCCCGTAAAATGACAATCATGGTTCTGTTTGCGGCCAAAATGTACATTTTTCTGGATAAGGTACAGTTACTGGAGCATCTTGGGGATCGTTTTCTCAAACCCCCGTGGCACGCTATGGATGGTAAGGATTCATGTTCCCATCGTCCATTCCCAGATATAAGGTAAGTTAAGTACCGTACTCTATTCAAAACACCTATCATAACGGATGCTTATAAGGTTGTAGTAACAGTAGGTAACAAGGCTGTGAGTGAACCCTTGGTTTTCCCTATCCCAGTTAATGTCCATGCTGATCATAACACATCATGAGTATCGTTGACGGTCGTACATTAAGTTCTATTTCCACCTGACTCCCGAAACATGCCCCTGTCAGTCTTCCCCCTTAGTCTCAAACACGTCCTCCCACTAACCACCATGTCCATCTTCCCCCAAAACATCAAGCGGCTCGACTCTCACCAATATCTCCTCCAAAAGCCCCTCCAGGAAACCTCCCACGTCCTTGCCCATCCCCACCGGCTCCGCTTTATCATAATGATCAATCTCCTTGCACACATGTGCCAACTTATACACGAGCTTCCGTATCTTCTCGTTGGCCGCTTCAGCACGCTGCTGCTTCGGGGTTGGCGGGGCAGGAGAATATCCCGGTTCCGGTCGGTACGTCTGCTGCAGCATGATTTGGCGACGTTTGAGCGCTTCCTCCAGTGCAGGAAAAATCACGTCGTTTAGGGCGTCCAACTCGCCGCTGGGACTGGGTGGATCAGGCGAAGGGAACGCAAGTGATGTTGATGACGAGGACGGCGTACTGGCTCCGCCATAGTTGGACGAGGTAGAGACGATGCGGCTCCCTGATGGCGACGATCGTGGCATCTCCTTTGATGTGAAGGGGCTCAGACCCTGACTTTGATGATAGCTGGATCTGTTGGGTTGATACTGTCCTGAGGACTGTTGATACTGTTGTGAATCTCGTCGCTGATGCTGTTGTTGCTGCTGTTGTTGATACAATGACTCGCGCGAGGGCTGATGATAGAGCATGGACGGCTGTGACTGTTGTCTCTGGTGCTGCTGGTATACTTGCTCGCGCGAAGGTTGATGATTTAGCTGACGCTGTTGCTGCTGTGGTTGTTGCTGCTGCTGCTGCTGCCGGTAAAGTGATTCACGCGAAGGTTGATGGTAGAGGGGGGGCTGCTGCTGCTGCTGGAAAGGCATGCTTGTGTTTGGTGCTTGCTGATTTATTTGCTGGTTGGTAAGTTTTTGGAGCGGCTGTTGCTGTGCAGGTTGTCCTCCTCTGTATGGGGGTATCTCAGGCAACTTCATGGGTCCAGCAGAGGTTCTCGACGATGAAGACGTAGGTTGTTGGCTATACTGTGGTGGGGAGAGTGCTGATTGTGGCTGTGTGCTGTTCTGGATAGCCGGTCCGAGGTTCATACCCCCGATATCCCGTCGTAACTGTTCCTGAAGCACATGATCATAATCTGGAGAACTGCCTAATGGTACGTGTGACACTGGTCTGGCTAGTGATGTGCGGGGCGTTGCGGATTCTCTCGTTTGGTGTTGCTGTTGCTCTAGTTGTTGTATCTGCTGCTTAACAGGTGAAATAGGCACAGGGACTCTGGTCGGGGGCGGCATCGCCGTGCTTGGCGTTCCCACCGGTTTCCTCGCAGGTGATGCTTGCCTCGCTGTGCCTGTCCCACTGGTGTCAACTGCAAGTTTGGATGTAGCTTGGTTGGATTCCCTTCTCCAGTCGTCCCGGTTATCCGCGCTCTCGTTGGCTCTCGAAGACCTCGCATTGAGTGTTGACTCGTCCATGGGGTTCAACATGCCCGGCCGGTGGACAACACCGCCGCGGTCACTAACCAGCCGCACTGTGCCAAAGTCCCACATGTCCTCATTGATATGCTTCCGTTGCTCGACATAGTTGTTTTCCTCGGGCTCATGGTACTCTTCGTCATCCTGCTTGTGCGTAGCTGCCCACCGGTTGTGCCGCTCGATGAGCTCCGTCAGATAGCTCGTCTTCTTTGCCCGCCTGATGAAGGGATGCTTGAGAAGTTCTCTTGCCGTTGGCCTTTCCTTGGGGTCACGCTGCAAGCACAACTCAATGAACTCCTTGAACCCTTTGGTGAAGTTACCTTCCAGACGTGGAGGCGGATTCTTGGGAATCAGGAATAGCACCTTCATGGGATGAATATCGGCATATGGTGGCTCTCCCTTGGCAAGCTCAAGGGCCGTGATACCCAAAGACCAGATATCAGCCTTGTGATCGTAGCCGCTTTGCTTGATAACCTCGGGGGCCATCCAGAATGGGGTGCCGACAAACGTGTTTTTCTTGGTCATGGTCGCCGATAGCTGACCGGAAACACCAAAATCAGCTAGCTTGACCTGACCGTTAGCAGCAAGGAGGATGTTGGCAGCTACTACAAGTCAGCAAGCTGTTCGACGGGACACTCAGGTAGGGGCAATAACCTTTGACATCTCGGTGTAGTTTCTTGTCTTGGTGCAAGTAGTCCAGCCCCAGCAGCAGTTCACGGACGATGATGGCGATGTAGTCTTCCCCAATCAGGCCGGGCTTCATCAAATCGGCACAGCTGCCCCCCGAGCAAAACTCCATGACGATCCATAGCTCGGCGCCTTTGGCATATGAACCATAGTATTTGGTGACGTAGGGCGACTGCAGCTCGGAAAGGATCGCGATCTCCTGGATGATGTCTTCAACTTCGTCCTCGGCGCTTTCGATATCGATAACCTTGATGGCCACTGCCTGGCCACTCCGTTTGTCGACACTGACCGAGGAATGGTTAATAACTTTGTCAGGAAATGGGAAGACGTGGGATGGGTACGGTACCCTTTGTAGACCTTGCCGAAGCTTCCACCACCTGCAAAACACGGTCTACTCGTCAGCAACCGCCGCTTGAATGGCGCCGAGGGTGAACCAACCTATACAAAATTCCTTGGTGTATAGGAGTTCGGGGTCCACGGATCCCTCGTGCTCGTCATATTCGCGGTCGGCCATGGCGTACGTAGGGGGGAGGTGGCTCTATTCAGACGGTGGTGCAGGCGAGCGAGGGTCGCATGGGTTGGTTGATTTGCCTGGGACACAACAGTGCGCCAATTGGATCGGATCTCGTGGAATTCCGTTCGAGTGTCGCGGAGGATTGTTGTGGTGGGAAAGATGCGCGACGAGAAGCGCACGTCGTAAGGCTACCAGGGAGAGGACGATCAAGGGCGGGAGCGAAGGGTGACTACGATGTTCTGGTCTTCTTGTAGGCGCAGCCCGGGACGGGGGAGCAAGGGGAGGCTCGAACAATTGGCGGGACCAGGTCAGCCCCGCTGACCGCACAATTCGAAGGACGAGTGTCGCGAAGCAGTCTAGGGACTTGTGGAAGTCGGTTGTGCTGGAGGGAAGAATTCCGGAGGTTGATCAGAGGAACGAAGGGATTGGACTTGGAAGGAGGTGTCCGATGTTTACCTTGAAGTTGGAGGCAGGTCGGTCGGTGGTTGGCAGGGGACCCGGAGAAGGTTACCTAAGAAATGGCGGGATCCCAGCCCGCTCGATGTGGAGAATGGATCCCTCCCCACGCGCACTGTGTCCAGCGCTGTTTTACCAGCAGGTACCTGTAGCGCGCTGTAAGTGCTGTGCTGAGGATGCGGTAGCTCACGAATGAGCAATCAGGGACAGAGCAAAGCCAAATGCTCGATTTTCCATGTTACACAGAGTGAGGATACCTCCCATTCGTCAATCGGCTGGACGATCAGGAACGCGCAAGATATCTTGAAGTAGAGAAACCGGGAAGGAAGGGAGGGAGGGCAGCCAGGTACAAAAACAAGCAACATCTGGGTTGGCTGAGGAGCGGGGTCTCATTCGTGGGTCAACGATGTGCATGCACTAACAATTATAAGACCTGCAGCAGAGACAGTTGCAGCTTTCACCTTGTCTACCCGCGTGTTTTTGTGGGGTAACCGTTCACAACCACAACCATTCCTCACCACTACGAGGGCAGCCATCACAGCGAATGCCGCATGACTGGTAACGGATGACATCTGGTAACAGTGGAAGACCATTGAGACGAGAAGGACGAGCAGTTTTGTCATCTATAATTTTGCATTGACCTAAGATGTGTAACGAGACTGGAAGAGGGGGAATCAAAACAAGAAAATAAAGAAAGCTAATGTTATGACCCTTGATGCGCCTTGTTTCCTTCTCTCCTCTCCCTGTCCTCTTCCGCTGTGAGACGTCTTCTCTGTTTCTTCCCAGAGTGTACCTTCCAGAATTCCTCCTTGTGACGCCAATTCTCTGCTGTGCGGAAACAAACAATATATCCTTCCTTGTACTGTCAAAAAGGTATAATAACCCGTCTAGAAATGAAGCCTTCTCTAGTTATCCAGCCACCCAGGCCTACCCATATTCTCTGTGAGTTCGTCAACAGGCTCATGACTTTCCTATTCCTCAATGAACTCCACCATGACTGTGCCATTAGCCAGGCCAGCCTCCTTGATCGTCTGATCAATAACATCAAGCAGGTTAACGCCTCCAGGCATCGACTTGAGCTCGAACTCGAGTCCCTCCTTGCCCGGCAGGGGCTCGGCCTTGAGCCACTCGTAGATACGGCGAACGGGTTCGTCAAGTCTAAATCGGCGAATGATGCGCTGCGGGGGGTTGCGAACCTGCAGTCTCGTCACGGTGGCGGGGTCAATCGGGGGTTCGACATGCGGTCGGTCCGAGGCGATCTGGGCGAAAACAGAGTTCTCGGTGGAGGGAGCCTCAGGTTCGGGCTCGGGGGCCGCCTGGGCAGGCTCTTCGTCGGCTCGCTCCTTGCCCTTGGTCGAGTCTGTCGGCCTGGTAAGCGCATCGGGGTCGTGGACCTTGGGCGCCGAAGAGCTGCCATTGCCTCCGTTCTCGAGACTGTTGCGCAGTGCCATCTCGAGCATCTCCTCCTCCGTCATCCTGTCCACATCCACCACCTGCTTGGGCTGCTTCGTCTTGAGGACGGGGTTCTTAGCGTGAGCCTCCAAGCTGTACCTGTCCAGAAACTCGGCCAACTGGGCATGGAACTCCAGCGGCTTGGGGAACGGAACACCGCTCCACACCTTGACCTGCTCGCCTGTGCGGGGATCAATAATCGACACGTGAGGATAGTTCTGGGGGTTTTCGTGTGTCTGGTTTGGGAAGTAAAAGGAGATGTACTGCTCGGCCGACCGGTCGGCCTTGTCGTACTGCAAAAAGATAAAGTTGCGCTTAACGAGCTCCTTGATCGGCTCATCCTTCCAAATGTCGCGGTTGAGGGCCTGGCAGTTGAAATCAGCCATATCCTGGAGATTAACCATGATCCACTTCTTCTCCTCCTTGCCCTCGTCACGCGCCTCGTCCCAGGTAAGATGTGCCATCAACTCGTACGGGGGACGGAAAAGCTCTGCCAGACGGCCAGCCCGCGTTGAGGCAGGTCCTGTAGGGGGGGAGACCACACCGCCGGCAGCGGAGCCGGGGACGGGATCGGGAGGCTGATCCCAAAGAGTCTGTGCGAACGGGTTATGAGGTCGCCCTGCTGGAAGAGTGTTAGCAAAGCATGGAACAGTGACTTGGAACTAGTGAGCAACTTACCCCGAGCTTGCCTAACCCTCTGCTGTTCCAGCCGGAAGTGCTCAAACATCTCTTCGTCGTCTCCGCCAAAACCTCCTGGCGCGACGAGGGTCTCTGTTGTTCGGGCCATGGGGGCACGAACATCGTCTTCACCGCCTGGACCTCCGGCTCCAGATTCACCACCACCGTACATCTCTTCTTGTAGTCTCTTGGCCATGGCGGCATCCTCCTCCTCCTGGGCCCTCTGGGCAATATTGGCCGCCCTTGTCGCCTCATCGTCCGAGTCGTCGAATTGTCCTAGGTCGTCATCTTCGGTCATCTGGATATCATCGTCGTCGGAGTCGATGTGAATGACGCCGGCAGCGTCCTCACGGCCGACATTGGGGCGGTTGGGTCGGCTTGACGAGCGAGAGGCGCCAGCGGATCGAGAAGTGGCAGCCGGAGCCGCCTCGTTCGCGGGGTTGGAAAGGGTACGCTGGAGCTCTTCGTCGGCAAACCAGAGCTGGATGGCTTGCTCGAGATCACCGCCGCACAACTCCAGCATGCGCCTAGCAGCTGTGTCATTCGCCCCGGTAATGCTCGCGAAGTTCGCGATAGTTTCTGAATCAGCCATCGTGTAGACTGTCGGTTAGGCGATGGGGTTCGAAGGGAAGGTCAAAGAAGTTTGGGAGAAGGCGGGGGTCCCGTAAACAGGAGCTTCCCAAACGAAATGCAATGCGCGAGAGCCCGGTGCCCAGTCTTGAGTGGCGAGTTGTCAGGAAGAGGGGATAAGACGTTGGACTCTGGCAGCTGGAGCTGATGCGGGTCGGGAAGAAGTTGAGAAAGGACTGAGTTGAGGGCAGGCAATCGAGGTCGGATGCGGGAAGGTGATGCTATTGATCTGCTGTTGTACAGCGCACGCGCAGTGACTTGAAGCTGGCGGGGAGGGTGTTCGAGGCCACGGAGAGGTGGGGATCCTGGTCGGGCTCGTTTATCGGCGGCGGGAGCTCGATGGTGCTTTCGGTTTCGAGTGCGTGTTGGAAGAGAAATTCTGGTAGCTGATTAATGATGGGACTATTCTGCGGTATTAAAGACAAACGGCATGCACTGTGAATGAAACCTTTTTCCTTCTTCAAGATCGAGACGTCAAAAGGTTTCCCAAGGCGCCCAAGCTGGTGACGCAAGAGGGACGCTGTCACACTGTCCTTCTCTGGTATGTCCCTCGGCCACTGTGCCTGCCGCCATAGGCCCTGCAGTGGCCTTGGCAACTCTACGAGTCAGCACGCCGGTCTAGGCTGGGAATTCAGAGTTAGGGTTATACGTGAGACTCCGAGCAGGCAACCTTCATCCACAACAACCTGCATCTGGGGTCCAGGAATTTGGGATTTAGGAATAGCGAGTGACCAAGGTTCGAGATGTGGAGATGTTAATTAAGGAGACAAGTTGAACTCCCGACCCTGGGTCCCCATTACTGGGTTTCCCATTCACCGGCAGTTCCTTCCAGTATTTCTAGACTGCCTATTCCGGTACAACTACAACATCAAGCCCATCATCCGTCGTCTTTCCACCCGTATCATACTTTCCTAGCCAACACTTCCAAGAATTCGACACTAGGGGTGTTGTCCACAAAAGTCCCTAATCAAGAAGAATCAAACACGCCTTCCACTTCTGCTGTACCTCCAACGAACGCTCCTCAGTCGACGCCTTCACAACCTCCTCCTTGATTTCCGACAAGGCATTACCACTCGCATGCTTGGGAAGCTTCCCCACCACCACAGCCGCCATGGTAGCCTTGGCCCTCAGCAGCCTCTGGTCTTCCGTTCCCGTATCAGCCTTGTCAAGATCCAAGGTCGCCAAATACCATTGGAGGACCTGGGGATCTGGAGACCCAGCTCCCTCCTCTCCTCCCTTGATAGCTGCCTCCAGCAACTCCAAAACACATCCATACCAGAACACCCTCCTGATGGCATCAAACGGGGCCTGGCCGATGTAAGGTTTCTTGAAATCCGGCTTCTTCGCGTTTTCCTCCAGCGCAAGCGCAATCTCCTTCAACTGTCCCATGGCATCCTCCTGCATCTTTGCACGATTGTACCCCTTGGCCACAGCTTCCATAGCCGCCCACGCCGTCTGGCTCTTCGGATCCAGTCCCCTCGCCTTATTGTTGATATTTGCCTTGTCGTCAACATCCATGGCGTCTTCGTCCACGGTCATGTCCAAATACGGCGTGACGATCTCCGTGATGGTCGGCAGCATCGTCAAGTCGTCTCTTGCTGCTGCGAACTTCCACAGGCAGCGGAAGGCATAGGGTCGGTAATCGTTATTGTTCCTCTTGGCCTCGCGAACGGCGATCTTCTTCAGCTGCTCCCCGAAGGAGGCGTCTTTCTGCCAGATCACCTTGCTTTTGCTGACAAAGTCAGGGAACGGCTCGAGGAGCTTTTCTTTGCCTGGGAACGTCT